CAAAATTCTGATTTTGAGCAAGGAAATCTCACAAAAACATCATTAATCACAAGTGTTAAGGAAATCTCACAAAAACATCACTAGTCACAAGTGTTAGTGGAGTAATCGCCCCGTGGAGGTCGCCCCGAGCCAGGCGTAGGACAGGAGTTGCCACAAAGGATATTTTTACATATTTATTTCAATGTTACTGATTTTTTCACTGTTTTTTTGTATTAATATTACTCAATGTGTCACTTGAGAAATTTATATAATAAAAAGTGTGGAACATTGGCATACTCAAATACTGTATATTCATGTTATTAAAATATGCACCATATTATATTCTTAGAACAATATAGCATAATATTTTTTGCTGTTATTACACTGTATACACACATTATATATAACTTTCTACATTTTTTATTCATTATTACGAACCACTGAGCAGTTCTGGTGGATGTAATATCTTGACACCAGTGATCAGATTTCAGCCTAACCTCACAAATTTTGCATGAAGTTACAACCAAAAACCATCTCGAGATGGTTTTGGGGCTTTAGTGTCCACACAGCCCGGACCTTAGCCAGGCCTCCTTTTTGTTATATTCGCAGGAAGCAGCCCTTAGCAGATGCCTAACTACCAGGTACCTATTTACTAATAGGTGAACAGGAGCATTAGGGTGAAAGAAACTCTGCCCATTCGTTTCCGCCTCCACCGGGAATCGAACCTGGAATCTCACGACTACGAATCCGATGCGCTGTCCACTCAGGTGTCAAGCAAGTACTGCACGTACCGATGTACGTATTTCATTTTTGTACCAATGTGTTCGCAATAGAATGTTCAAGAAGAACATAAGTATAAAATGTCACACAAGGATGTGTTAGACCGGCACCAAATAAAAAACTACGTCGATTACACTCGTCGTGTCAACAATACAATGGTCTTACCACGATGATGCAATGCCATGTCGTTCTCCCAAATAGGCTATGCGGCTATTAGAGAAAATGGAAATTTCATGGCGAACATTTGTAAACTATCCCAAAGTCGATCGGATAGAAAATAGATTTTATACAAATATTTTTTCTTTTTTCGTGGGCGAGTCCGTCATGCGCACTCCAGAGAAAAGTTGGTTACGCCTCTAGGAGTAACTGATGCGCGAAAGTGTTTAATATGGTGCCAATCACATTTTTAGCCATTTTCATAGGTGAATGAAATTTTAGGAGAAACAGGCATAGCAATGTACCTTTTGTTAAAAAAAAATCATTATTAACAAATTCACCAAACAAATGTTTCCTGAAGGCATCTCTGGTTCCAACAATTCTCTAACTGCAACAAATTTGGATTAATCCCATATAGTTCACCAAATTGAAGAGGCACTGTACATATTATACTGTATGCCTATAAAGTATTCATAACTCTTGCTTTGTACATATTACACTGTATGCCTATACGAAATACATTACTTAATTACTTTTTTGTCAATTATGTGTAAATAAATCAAGTTATTCAACACTTTAGTAAACTAAAGTTAAACAATAAACATATAAACCATCTAACTTCAACAAAACAGCCTTCTTCTCTAAATAGGGAGTCAGCAATACTGATTTACCACAAGTCCCAGTGACTTGTGGTAATGACACTTTGTGAAGTCTTCCTCTCAATGTGCACAAAACCAAGAGGCTTTAGATTTTTCTTCTTTTTTTTTCTTTTGGTAGCTGGATTTAGAGGATTAATCATGACGCTAAGACTGGGCCCTGTCAGAGGTACCGTGCCCTCCAAGACTGTGACTAGGGGAGTGAAGGGGAGGGGGTGAACTGGCTCCCCAGATAACATTGGCAGCAACCTGGTGGTGGTCAGGTGCATCACAGTTAGGGTGTTTGCACTAAATCAATAATAGCAATCACTTGCTTTGTTACCAGAGAGCACTTAATATTTTCATTAAGCAGTGGCTTACTTAAATGCACTATGCTTTTTGCTAAGGTTCATTCTTTGTTTTGGGGTTGATCTGTGTTTCCAAGCTCCCAATGCCCACTGAAGAGAGCTATATTCTGGTCCTGGCTCCTGGTAGGGAAGGATGAGTCTCGGGGACCTGGCACATTTCCTTAAGGCTGGGCAAAACCAGCACTAAGCTCAAGGAGCTACTGAGAGAACATTCACACAAACATACAGTATTAACTGCACTGGACAAGTGTAATGGATTTTCATAATTAAAAAAAAAAAAAACGTTGAATGTAATGAAACGCCATTTTCTATGCGAGACCCAGAGGCTCCCCGGAGCTAACCCGGGCTGATATGAATGTATTAGACCCTGGCATCAGTCAATGCACATTGAGTTACAGGCCTACCTTGGACCATGAACCAGAACCTGGTCCCTTCAGAGAGGCACGAGGAGCAATGGCCAATAGAAACCCCCGTGTGGTTGGAAGCACTGTACTGTATTCTATGTCTGCCAACGACTGGGTGAGGCACCCAGAAAGGTAAGCGCCTCAAAACAAACACCTATTTTGGTTAAAATATTGCAAATGAAAGCCAAACTAGTGGACAGAACTCCCCAAATGAAAACAAGCAAACAAGCATGACATCACCATGTCACCGCACTGTTGTCTGCGCAAAACCGGGGGAACCCCAGACCACCTCCTGCCAGCTACCCACACCCCATTTATGAGGCTGGATGACAAAACACGCGAAAAAAATGCTGATCGGAGGGAGGGAGGGTTGACGGAGAGCTTCACAGAAAATGGTGTTTCATTGCATTCAACGCTGGTTTTCTGGAGGCAGCCCCCCCCCCCCCCCCCCCCCCCCCCCCCTTCGGCTTCCTGGAGCTACTTGCTCAAAGACAAAACAAGAGAGACTTCTCCGGAAGGCGGTCGGGTCTCGCTCCTAAATGCGAAGTCGAGACAACTGGCTGCAACCGCCAACCCAATGCAACAGGCCCGACTAGACCCAGGAACGTTAACAAAGTAGTGAGTGACCAGGACCCTGTTCAACCTCAACCTCCAAAAACCCTGTGCCCAAATGTCAGCCCATGACATGCTTCCAAAGATGGCAGCCAGCGCAATAAACTTACGAACGTCGTGGGCACGAGGATAGACGATAGGCAGGCTGGACAGAATTACCCTGCGGACAACCTGGGAGACCCGAACCCTGGAACAGGGAAGAAGGGAAACCGGGTCAATCCAAAGCACGTCCCTGGCCACTGAGGCCGGGGCATGCAGATAATGGCAGAAAGCTGCAACCGGACACAAGACACATGATACACCCCCGGCCTAACCAATCAAGCATCAACAACCCAAAGGACCCCTCCAGAAAGCAGTCTCATTCTTCTCCAGAAAAGAAAGAGACAACTGCAAATGAACAAACCTACCACCAGGACGAAAAGAGCAGAAACCTCTGCGCCGGAGGAGAGCACGAAACTCCCCGATGAGACCCCCAGAGGCCAATGCCAACAAGAAAAGAGCCTTTGCCAAACAATCCTGTACCGAAGTGGCCACCACAAACCGAGGAGAAGAGAGAAAGGAGAGCACCCGGTCCAACGACCAGGATGGCTCAGGTGACGCATGAGCAAGCCGGAAGTGAAATAATGCATGAGACAGCTTGAGGAATGGTGCAGACATAACATCAGTGCCAAACACAAGCTGCAGCGGCTCCGCCAGCACTGCACGATATGAGGCGACAACATTTGGCATAAGATGACGGTCCTGGAACAACCACGAAAGGAAGGACAAGACAACCCTATCAGAGACAGAAGTAAACCTACGAAGGGATAAACAATAACAGAAGGACCGCCAGAAAACTTCATACTGCTGCCGAGACGAAGCAAGCAGGTGGGCCATCATCAACGAAGCCACCTACTCACCATACAAGTGGTGACAGACCCCCATCAGAAAGACCAGACACAAAGACCGAAGGAGAAGATCAAACCAGCTACGTAAAGTACTAGCCCAATCTGCTGAAAGAGGCGGTGCCGTGGGAAGATCACCGAGCAAGCAGCTCAAAACCAAGGCTGGGCCAGCCACCAAGGGGCCAAAAGGACTACTCTCCCTTCGAACATCTCCAAGTGAGCTAGGAACTGTAGTAACAGGGAAACTAAGGGTAAAGAGGTACAGGTAAACCCACTTCGACCAGTCCTGCCTGAAGGCATTGACCCTGATGGCCGTGCAGTTCAGGAAAAACGCCACATTACAGGTACTTAGAGGCACCTAGGGAAGGAAACCCTAGGCGCATGCAGCTGGAGTACCATAGAATATTACTCCTGGCTCACACACCACCTGTAGAGACAGACCATGGAACAAGACACAGGAACTGAATATAAAAACTGGAGCCAGAGGCACTCAACCAGCCAGTATCACATCAGCCAAGAACTGATGGTTGGAACGCCAGTGTAAGGGGCCTGGGGCTCCCCTTTCCAAGGAGGGGAGGGTTGTGCAGACAGCCGAACGGCAACGTGATGACGTCATGCTCGTTTGCTAATTTTCGTTAGGGAGTTCTGTCCACTCGTTCGGCTTTCGGTAGCAATATTTTCACCAGAATAGAGGTTTGTTTTGGGGTGCCTATCTCTCTGGGGCCAGACCCAGTCGATGGCAGACAGAATGCTCCCAACCACACAGGGGTTTCTATAGGCCATTACTCCTTGTGCCTCCCTGAGGGGGCCTGGTTCTGGCTTGTGGTCCCTGATAGGCAAGAACTCCATGCACTTTAAATGATGCCAGAAAGCTAATAGTTACATATCAGCCTGGATAGCTCTGGGGAGCCAAAGGGGTCCCCCCTCCCCCCAAGAAAAAACAAGCAGCTCTATAGCAAATCAGTGCTGTACGGGGCCGTGCTAAATGAGCAGTATAATGTATTCATAAGGGTTCCATGAGCAAAACCTTTTAAGTATGCAGGAGTTTCCTGTTTAATATTATATTGTAATTTTTGTTTTGTTTTCTACATAAGTGAAGTAGAAAGAAGTTAATGAAAGTGAACATAATAATAATACAACAAAAGACAATATGCTAAGTATCAAGCATCAGTGGTATCTCACCTGAGTCCTCGCTCGCCTGTGTGTCTATATGAAGATCTAAATGCAGTGACAGCTGCAGACTTCACCTTGCTTATTCCAAAGAGTAGATAAAATTTAGGCAGAGAAAATTCATCTAAAGACAGCCGTAACACACGCTGAGTTTCCTCTGTAGAAGAAAATGTAATAAAGGGAGGAATTTATAAAATGAATTATGGAAAACATTAGGGATTTTTTAATAATAAGAAGTGGTATAAACTGTACTCTAATTTATTCATTAACTGTAATATACTCCTTAAGTGGGGAAAAACCTGCAATGAATGTAATGAAACGCACCTTTCTGGGCGAGCTCTGGTGACTTCAATGAAGCTATATCACTGAGGTAGCTTCCAATTACTAAGTCACATCAGTTATAAATTTCCTGTTGGCCTACCAGAGACCAGACCCAGAATCTGGCACCGAGAGCAGGGTTACAAACATCCTCACTGGGAGAGCAGCCAAAAAGCAGACAAGACAATACAGGCATCTACATTGTTCATGAAAATGAAGCCCTGAAACACCCAACAGACTCCACAAAAGATTCCCTCAATACTGAACGACATGAAACACCCCCCCTAGTGCACAGAACTGCCAATTAGATTGCATCCCAACAAGGCTCCCAGCTTCAAGGGTGGGAACCTCTCAATCTGGAGCTGATGAACCAGAAACCAACATACTGTATCTGGTTGGGAAGTGGGGGAGGTAGTTAAGGAGCCACTGGGATTCACCCAGAGAGGGGCATTTCATTATACTCAATGTGGTATTCTGGGTGCACTCCTTGGTGGTTTCTTCAAGCTAGCTAACAACGGAGAAAAGGAAATCATGGAACTAACCAGTAGTCAAGAGGTGGCAGCTACAAAGTCAATCATTATCTTTGTCAGATAAGAAGGCTACAAAGAAACTAGCAACTAGGGCCAAAAAACAGAACCCATGCATGTCTCTGGAGAAAAACATGATGCCCTCCAACCTGCCAACCAGAAGCAAGAGCCAAGAAAAACATTGCCTTATGAAAATTATCCCAGCCCGATGGGTCAATCGGGAACGAAAGGAAAGAAAGAAATACCATCACTCAATCTAGAGACCAAGATGGTTCAGAGGGAGCAAGAGCCAGCCAGAGGTGAAACACAACTAGAGACAACTAGTGAAATGGTGCCAAGGAAGTATCAATGCTGAATGCCAGAGAGGCAAAAATGCAAAAGGAGTGCCAGACACTTCTTACTGCTGCCTCAACAAAGACACAGATGAGACAAATCAGCCTCCAGTGCACCATATAAATAGTGGTAAATATATTACAGACAGAGATTGGCAGAGGTATCTTGCCAGCAAGGAATGTCACTGGGCTATCTACTGAAACAGGCAGTCACAGAAAAATGCCTGGGGTCAGACATCAGCCCAAAGAACCAGAAACCAATGCAGACCCTACCACCAAGGAGTCAGCAAGATCATCTTGACTGAGAATGTCATCATCATTTATCTTGCTGATGGATAACCGAGAATGTCATCATCATTTATCTTGATCTTGATTACGGACGACTTTGGAAGACCAGCTGAGGCCGGCATCAACAAGACAGAGGTCGCCAGCCTTAAAGCAGGGAGCTTCAGGATGCCACCTGTCGGTAGCTCTGCGCACTAGGTGTTTCGTACACTGTTTCAAGTGAACCATTTCATTTTGAGTGAATCTTTTTGCGATGTCTGTTGGCTGTTTTGGTGCTTCAGTTTCACAAACTGTGCAGTTATCTGTATTGTCTCATCTACTTTCTGGTTGCTTTCCCAGCAAGAGTGATCATAAAAATTTCCTGCTCTCTGTGCCTCTTCAACGAAGGGCCAGGTTCTGGCTCTGGTCCCCGGTAAGCCAATAGGATGCCTATGACTGATGTGACTTAGTAATTGGAGGCTATCTCAGTAACAGTTTCAGGGAGCCACCCACGCTTCCCCACAGAAAAACTCATTGTAAATTAACCCTCGCTGGATATTTTTGGAACCTAAACCTGTCCCCCTTCCACCTACAGAATTTTAAGTATAGTAATGAAGGTCAGAGGTATGCAAGTGGTGTCTTGGGTAGCATAAACAGAGAACTAAGGTAAAGAGTAAAGAGAAATAAATATTAGAAACAGGAGATAAATTTGAGATAGTAAATTCAGGGTTGAGACATCCACGACTTTTATTAATGAAATTGGAAGTGACATAAAAGCCTTCTAAAGAGTGCAATGAACTGAATCAAGGAAAAAAGAAAGCACAAGTTAAAAAAAATACCAAAATAAGGATCGATAAAAATATAAAAAACACAAAAACTTTTGTGGTGAGGAAGAGTCCTGCGAGACTGTCATGCACACAAATGAATGATAACCAAAACACACAGACTGTATTTGCAGAGGTTCAGCAAAACACAGAAATTTATCATTTATTTGTCTTTACCAAGGAAAAATCAGCAAAGTAGGCACCCTTGGCAAATTTGAGGAAGTAGAAAACATGCTAAAGCCCCATGCACAAAATATTCTATTTGGGAAGGAAAGAACAGTTTGAAAACACATACATCATAGAGGGTGATGATTTAAAAAAGGATCAGGCCATCATCAGCCTAATGAGTACACAAATAAAAGAGGAGGGGGTCAAATTAAGAACTTATTCACAGAAAACAAGATTACTAAGAAGTTAGATAATTGTTAGGGAGAAATTAAAAAACCTAGCATTGAATGTAATGAAATGCTTCACTTAGGTGGGTCTTGGGTGGCTCCCTGTTGCTAGCCACCTGGTTAGTTCCACACATCAAGTAACACCAGCCTCTTGCAAGTCATTAAAAGCCTACCAGGGAATACTGACCAAAATCTGGCCACGTCCTCACAGATGTGCAGAGTGCAATACCTTGATCACGTTACCTAAGAAATAAGCCACAGCAAGGGAAATCTGAAGAACTGAAAACTTGACATCCAGAACCCAAGGACCAACCAGAAAGAGGCATTTTATAACATTCAATGCTGATTCTCCGAGAAGGGTCAAGGGTGCCTGTCACAATATAGGAAGAGGCCAAACCCTCAAACATACCAGCACTACAAACAAGCAAGAAACAACTAGATAGTAGCAAGGAATGAGACAGAAAGGAACTTTAAGAAAGGGGAAGCAGACAAATGCAAAATAGATCTAGGCCTTTTCTATACATTCATTTCAAGTAAGCTGCATGTAATGAATAAAATCCAAAGATTGAGAATGGAGAACAGATTCACAGAGAATGAAAAAGAAATGTGCAAAACACTAAATGAAGTTCCAAAGTACGTTTGTTCAAAATGAGGTTTTCGGAGAACCTGACACGATGTCAACGCCAGAGAAAACCATAGAGTACGTAGAGGTGCCTCGAGACAGTGAAAAAATTACTCAGGGACCTAGGAAAAAATAAAGCAGTTGGATCAGATAGAGTTTCACACTGGGTTCTGAGAGAATGTGCAACTGAGCTAAGCATTCCACTTCAATTGATATTCCAGACATCTGTGTGTAGAAATTTTAGCAGATGTGGAAAAATGCAAACATAGTTCCAATCTACATAAATGGTAGCAGAGAAGGCCCTCTAATCATATCATATTAACCAGCGTGGTAGTCAAAAACCTGGAAAAATAGTTAAAGCCAAAAGAACAGAAAACCTGAAGAGAAATGATGTGATAACAGAGTATGGTTTTCGAACAGGAAAATCCTGTATAACAAATCTACTTATTTTTTATGAGCCACAGAGATTCTACAGAAAAAGAGATTGTGGGTTGGTTGTGTTTATCTAGACCTAAAAAGGGCTTTTTGTCAGTCCCACACAGGAGTGTTTTAGAAACGAACATGCTGACATAGAAGAAAAATTGTCTAACAGCAAGAAAGATGAGGATGGTAATCAGAGGCAATGCATCCAATTGGGGAGAGTAAGTAGTGGAATACCATAGGGTTCAGGTCTTGCAACAAAAAATTGTATTTGTCTTGATTATGGTCAGGACAGACTGAAACGTCGTCTCTTCAATTTCTAGTGTGTGGTTTGGTCAACATTTTTCAGCCACGTTATTGTGACTTCATCTGCACAAGAATTCCATACTCTCTGTGCCTCTTTGAGGAGGCCAGGTTTTGGCCTCTGGTCCCATGCAGGCTTTTAATGACTCGCAAGGACCTGGTGTGACTTGATATGTGTGTGGCGCTAACTAGGCGGCTAGCAACATAGAGCCACTGTAGAGCCCTCCCAGAAAACCTAAGGCATACAACCGGACAAGAGAAAAAGAAAGAATTATAAGTGAATTAGGACATCAAAGAATGCAGCGAAAAGAAAGACATTAGTCATGAAATTTTAAAATAACTCATATCAAATAGTAAATTGATAGAAAACAAAATAGATAGAGGCAAATCCCTTTTAATCTTTAGGAGTAAAGACAAGGAGATAACATCTAAAGTAGTAGAGGTACAGAAAGTGCAAAGATCATAGACAAAATTGTTGAGTTAGTAGAGGTTAAACTCAAAACAAAATATAATGTTAGTGAATATAGAAGAATCGAAAGGCATATAAAGCTAGGAAAAACCTAAAGGGTGATCCTAAATGGAGTTAAAAGTTGACAGAATACTCAGGAATACTGTACTAGGAAATTATAGTGATTAGGATTGGAAACCGGAAATTAAGGAGATACCTCTCAATGGAACACACATAAGAACTGAAAGGAAAGGGTAAATAAGAGCAGAGAGGAATATTTTTGTTTTTTTCTACAAGATGATAGGAATCGGAGAGATGATGAATGATGAACTGACAGCCAACAGTCACTAAAAGAAAAGGCAGAATAGAATGTTCCTAAAAATAATTTATACGAATGTAGATGGGGTTAGATAAAATACTGGAGTTCAAAAATGTAATACAGCTGAAAATTCATAATATCACCACTCTGGTTATCTTGAGATGATTTCGGGGTTTTTAGTGTCCCCGCGGCCCGGTCCTCGACCAGGCCTCCACCCCCAGGAAGCAGCCCGTGACAGCTGACTAGCACCCAGGTACTTATTTTACTGCTAGGTAGCAGGGGCATAGGGTGAAAGAAACTTTGCCCATTGTTTCTCGCCGGCGCCTGGGATCGAACCCAGAACCACAGGATCACAAGTCCCGCGTGCTGTCCGCTCGGCCGACCGGCTCCCTTAAAATAATATTTTTTAGACGAGCTGATATTCCTTGAAGGATACTCAGTTTGGAGACACTACAGAAAAAAAACTGAAAAAATGGAGGTGTCACTGTGCTAGTGAAAAAGAATTTAAATGTATAAGAATATATTCTTGACAACCCACAGGATGTGGACATGGTGGCACTAGAGATATGCAACCAGATTGACAAAATGGTATTCAATAGTGCCTAAAATCCACCAGCAAACACCACATAGACAAAGGAAGGAATAGACAAGCAAGAGGGACTCACAATCATTATGAGGGAGATAACAACAAGAGCGGATAGAAAAAGATAAAGCACGACTGATAGTACTTGGGGGACTTAAATTTGAAAACGATAGACTGGGAGACCTATGCTGTAAGGACAGAAGACTCCTGGACCAGCAGATTCATGAACCTCTTCCTGGAGGCATTCATGTATCAGCATGTTAAACAGACAATGAGAATGAGGAAGGGGTATGTTCCCACAATATTGCACCTAATATTTACCAGGAAAGAGGAAGAGATCTTTTGACTTCCAGTACCTGCCTCCACTAGGTATGAGTGACCATGTACTCCTAGAAATAAAATATGCAATACATTATAATATAGAAGAAAATGTGAAAAGTGAAACAACAGAGATATACAACTACAAAGAGAGGATTCTACTGGAGTCTTAAGTTCTTTAAAGGATTTGGCTGGAATGGCTTGATTTCAGACAAATAAAGAAATGAGATGCACAGTATACCAAAATTTGTGAGATATATGAAGAAGGCCCCAAATATTTATACAGAAGAAAAGACGATAATATAGAAAACAGGACTGGTTTACAAGAAAATGCGAGAGGGGCCAGAAAGCAAAAGAACCAGAGTTGAATGTAATGAAAAGCCTCTTTCTAGGGGGTACCTTGGTGGCTTCCTATTGCTAGCATCCTGGATAGCTTTCCAGAGAATTGAATCACACCAAGCCCTTACTAGTCATTGTGAGTTTACCGAGGACCAGAGGCTAAAACCCGAGCCTCTACAATGACATGACAGGAGCCGAGGATACTAGATCACTCAACAAAAAAACACCAGAAAACTGGAGTGAAACAAAACAGAGAACACAAAGTTAAACACAACACAGAAAATGAGACCCCTGAACAATTCACTCAAGTGGTTCACCCACTAGTAGCAGCTGCTCAACATCTTAAGAAGCACATCAACAAACTGGAAAAGGTGCAAAGCCATGCAACTAAATGGCTCCCAGAACCAAAGGACAAGAGCTACGAAGAGAGGTTGGAAGCATTAAATATGCGAAAACTAGAAGATAGGAGAAAAAGAGGCGATATGATCACTACATACAAAACGGTAACAGGAATCGATAAAATTGATAGGGAAAAATTCCTGAGACCTGGAACTTCAAGAACAAGAGGTCATAGATTTAAACTAACTATACAAAGCTGCCGAAGAAATAAAAGAAAATTCACTTTTGCTAACAGTGTTAGACGGATGGAAAAAGTCAGGTGAGAAGGGGGTTGAGGCCAAAACCATCAGTAGTTTCAAAGCATTATATGACAAAGTGCTGGGAAGACGGGACACCACAAGCGTAGCTCTCATCCTGTAACTATTCTTAGGTAATTACCAGGTGGCAGTACTCCCACTATTGGATCTCCCCGGCCAACTCATCAGTCTCTGTGCCAGTTAACACCAAAACTGAAGCCCTGGGAAAGGGTAAGGAAGGTCAGAAAGCCTCCAAGGACCACAAGAAAAAGAGGTAGTATTTCATTATATTCTGCACCAGGCCCAGACTCCTGGAATTCTATATTCATCAATAGTTGCAAAACACCACTATTACTGGCCCTAAACACCTATTGCAGACAGAACCTCAATAATGGTGTTATCCCATTAACACTTAAACCAGCAGAGATCATGCCACTTCACAAGGAAGGAAGTAAAGACAATGCAACAATTTATAGACCAATAGCTCTAACTTCACCTATCATAAAAATCCTTGAAAGAGTACAAAGAAGTAATATCACAAGTCACATGGAATCACAACATTTCGATAACCTTGGACAACATGGGTACAGAACAGGGCATTCTTGCCTCTCACAATTGCTAGATCACTATTATATGGGCCTTAGATGCCACGGAAGATAACTAAAATGCTGATGGACAAGATTTTGCAAAAGTTTTGCAGATGTGACCATGGTATTATTATGCACAAAATGCATTGAAAAGGAATTATGGCAAAATAAAAAGATGAATCTTTAACATTCTAACAAACAGAACTCAAGAGTGTAATTGTCAACAAATTAAAATCCAGTCTTCCACTGTGAAAAGTTCAGTCCCCCAAGGTACCGTCCTTGCTCCAGTAATAACAGTATCTCATCCTTTTGCAGATGATACTAGGATTTTCATGAGAGTAGACAATATAGAGGACACAGCAAACCTCCAATCTGATGTTAATCGGGTCTTTCAATGAGCTACAGATAATAATATGATGTTTGCACAAAGAAATCACATTAACATGGCCAAGTTGTTTAGGGCTTATGCTTGGGAGTACCAAATGTGCAGGTTCCAATTCTCAACATGGCCTCTATTGATTTTCTCAATTTTTCTCAATACTTTTCCTAATACAATGGCATGGCTGACCATTATGTAAGAATGTTTTAGCTGAGAGAAAGTCAAACTCTGATCCAAAGTGACAGGAAATGGCTACCCATGCAAACAAGGTACTGTGCTTGGATTGTTCCACTACCTATGTTTTCACATATCAATACTAGAAATGTCAGTAAAGTTCTTACCTAAAAAAGAGGGTTTAGTGCAGGTACAAAGTGAGTGAATGATATTGATGACAAGGCCATGTGTAGATGCTCTCATCGAGACTGGCCCAGTGCACACCAAGAATGTAATAATATGAAACAGGTACGGTAGATGGCGCGCTACATCAAGGCAGTTGTTGAAGGACAGCATGAGTAAGTATCTTGCCAAAATGGCTATGTCATCCCACATCAGATGCTGCTCCAAGGTTGGCGTTGGAGATGTGCATGTCTTGTCTATCACCTGTCAGTCACAGAATATTTTAAGAATTATATTTTTGAATAATAGACAAATTTTATATAACCAACAGACTGTTCAATTAGTAGAAATACAGTACTCACAAAACTTAACACTACTGATATAGGTATATAAATTATCATTAACAAAATCAAATGCAGCCTGCATTGAAACAGTTACAACATTTTATCAGACACAACAGAGATACAACATAACAAGAGCTTCACATAAAAGTGTTAAACATGGGTAAAAATAAGGACTCTCTCTATGGTTAAAAAATAATAATATTGGTATAAACAGTGTTGGGTATAGTGAAACAGTACTTTCTCAGTGGCTTCTAGGAGCTTAGGCAATGGTACCGCTAGCATTCCATGCATACCAGGTTGGTGGGGGATAAAAAGTAGATCATGGGTCCAGCATAGATGTTACATAGCCAACAGCTCAATGCAAAAAAGATGGGTTGCATGCTATCTGAAACTCTGGTGACCTGGGATGCCTCCTAGTGAAAGTTGGGAGTCCCTCAGTCAGGATATTTACCCTGAAGAGCCTTAGGGTGCTTATTTTCCACAAGCAGTCATTGGTTTTGTTGCCCCTTATGATTTCTGTGTTTTTTGTTAAGATCCTAAAGCTCTTACTGTTGCATAGAGCAAGCCAGATTCTGCTCGTGGCTTCTGATAGGCAAGTATGGGTCTCAGAGGTTGGTGTCATTAAATATAGCTTGGTATTATCAACACAAGCTCAAGGAGCTACTGTAGTCACCTACAGAAAAATATATATACAGTGGAACCTCGGTTGACAACTGCCCTAGAGCACAAATTTTTTGGTATACGACATCAAATTCATCGTAAAATTTGAATTGGTGTACAACTGTTTACTTGAAAGACAACGTCTGTTCGTACGTAAATGGGTCGAACGAGCGCATGGTGCTGGGGGTTTGTTTACACACAAACAAATGTGCACTCGGTTTGTTTACAAGTCTATCCTGTGTAGTGATGACCACGGCTGAGCTTGAATTCTTTGTGAAGAATTTCATTGTTTGCCTGCTTTTTTAACATTAAAGTTATTATATATCATGCCATGGGACCAAAGAAAGTCAGTGGTAAAGTTCAACCTAAGAAAATAGTTGTGAGGATGACGATAGAGAAAAAACGAGATCATTCGTAAACATGAAAATGATATGAGGGTTGCTGATGAAGAGTAGAGGATGTCCCCTCATCATTTATTAAGAAAATGTGCGCAGTATGGAAAGAATTGCAAAGTTTTGCTGAAAAGTGCCACCCAAATCAAGCTGTAGCAGGCCATTGTGTTAACCTTTTTAATAACAATGAGATGTCTCATTTCAGACAAGTGTTAAATCATAGGGAAAAACAAGTGTCACTAGACAGGTTTTAAGTGAGAAAAACAAGCAGAGTCACAAGAAGGTCCTAGTGGCATGCAGGCAAAATTTAGGAGAGAGAGTAGAGTCACTGAGAAAAGATGAGAAAAGTCATCACTGCCTGATGTTATAATGGAAGGGGACTCCCCTTCCAAACACCTCTCCTCCTCCTCACCATCTCCCATACACCAACAAGAGTCCTCATTCAAAGTAAGATATACATACTGTATTGTAGCTAGTACAAAATGAGTATTATTTTATTTAAAATGCATTTTTAAGTTAATATTTTTGGGGGTGTAGAATGGATAATTTCAATTTACATTATTTCTTATTGGGAAAATTCCGTTTGGTTGGCAAATTTTTGGTTGACGACGCGTCTCTGGGAATGGATTACAATCATAAATGAAGGTTCCGCTATCATAAAATGGAGAAACAAACTAGCAGAAACAGAAGCTATATACATTTTATTTAGGATAGAATCTAGCTGAAATTGTAAAAATTTAACATGTGAAGGGAAATGAAGTTCATAAAAATAACAATGATTTCTATAAATTTACTGGGAAACAGCTTTGCCACAGAAAAGTTACCTTGCTCTCAACATTAAGCAAAAATTTCATAAATGTGTATGAAAACTAACAAATAAATGGACAGGTATGTGATGTATGATAGAGGTTAAAGTTAGTTTACAGTACAAAATTTGATGACCTACCCTACAGAGGCGGCCTATAACTTTTCTTGCTACTGATGCAACATTAGCAGAAGCCAATGCCACAGCAGTATCAGCCATGATCTCTGCCTGCCCAGACCCCAAGCCACCAGTAACCGACCGTTTGATGAACGAGTCTAGTACCATGTCGATCAACTCCGATACCTATCGAAGAAACACATACTAAAGTGGATCTTCAAATAGCAGGATAATGAAAAAAATTTAAGATATACACATTATATATATATACACACACACACACATATACATATTATTCTATTACATACATAATATATAGAATAACTTACTAAACTTAATTATGATTATATGTAAAAACAATGTAATCAGGAATGAGAATGACCACCATAAAATTTACATATAGTAAAACATATATGGTAGATGGCTTAAGACTAAATGGTAAATAGTAAGGCTTACTTGACCAATGTTGCCCCAGATTTTGGCTTGAATAGAAGGGTACATTTCAACTTCCTCAATAGTTAGTGTGATGAGTTTATCAAGAATCATGGCAACCTTAGCTCGCTTTTTATCATCTGGATGGCTACAAAACCTGTAAAGAAAAAGTATGATTAGCATACATTATATCTCCTCCTGTCTATACCTCAAATGCAAAATGAACACTACATACAGACCCACATATACTCTCCCTTCAGAATGGGAACAGAAAAATGCCTAAGAAAGCATGACGAGTGCATAAATCTTGAATAAGTAAATACTGTACCAGTAAAAAAGATAATTATACTGTATAAGGAGCTATTCATGCCGGTGTTAAATATAGCCAGAAAACAGTAAGGAAGTAAAATATCGCAGGGAGAATCATACCTTGTAAGATTGGGTAGCCATGGAGTCATATACTCAAGACACAAATGCTTGAGCTCAATACTTGAGGCCCGGAAGCCCTGTATACATTCTTCCAGGAACTCAAGTGTTAGGTGAGGTTCATTTACTGCAAGTTTTTCACTAACACTCTTGATGAAAATGGTATTGTTGGATGGGATACAGAGACCTGAAGGAATTGAAGCCATCATTTAATTCCTATGCTACAATTCTTCTACACTAGCTGATGGGCACCAACAACAGCCTGGTTACCAATTTATTTGTTGATGTTCAAACAAATTGCCTTGTTATAGGTAAAAGCTTTTAAACAGAGATACAGTACATGTATATCCTGCATAAACAGGGATGAAAGTTTGGGAGTTTAATGGCAGTACAGGAAGTTGCAAAGGTCTATGTAAATAAGGAATTTAAGAGAATATAAATGGAGCACAGACAAAATTTAGTGGACCACATAAACTACAAAAGTGACTACTAAGGAAATAAAGAAAAAGTTGTCTTTTCTGAAATAAACATCTAATAATTAATTTTTACTTGTACACGTGACAGATCAACATGTTAGGAGTACCTCAGAGTCAAATAATTACATATAACATCATCTTGCAAAGATAATGTTTAGAGTGAAGAGATGAAAAACTGCTTTTTGAGTACGCTATTTGGGTTGCTCCCTTATGTTCTATTCTCTCAAGGATGTGGCATCAAACCAGCCAGGAACTTGCCTGGCCATAAATTGGTTTCAGGAGACGCAGGAGATTTTTCTTTCCAGTTCGGAATGACACACAGAAGGTTAATTCATCAACACTCAAAAAAACAGCGTTGAATGTAATGAAATGCCATTTTCTGGGCGAGTCCCCGGAGGCTCCCCACAGCTATACCGGGCTGATATGCATATATTAGACCGTGGCATCAGTCAATTTGATTGGAGTTCTTAGCCTACCGGGAACCATGAGCCAGAACCTGGCCCCCCTCAGAGGCACGAGGAGCAATGGCCTATAGAAACCCCCATGTGGTTGGAAACAGTCTATGTCTGCCCAACCTCTCCTCTGACAAATTACATCTGAATTTGGCCATTTGCCCATTTGGCCAAAAATGGACACGTAATTTGAAAATGAAAAAACATATGAAAATAAATTTGGGATTTTTTTTCCAAAACAGTAAGTTAAAGGTCCTCTTGTAGGTTAGGAGGGCTGGAAATTCTCCTAAGGTTTCGAAACGTCATGAAAAATGTTAATTGAAAGTGTCCTCTCCTAACCTTTCCGAGTAAGCTAGACGACTCAAACAGAAAACGGGGCAGTACATCAGTTTTGTGAAACCAAGGCTGGGCCAGCCACCAAGGGGCCAACAGGACTACTCTCCTGACAAGTCTCCAACCAAGCCTTGAGCTGAAGCAACAGCTGGACCAGGGGGAAGAGGTACAGGTAACCCCACCTCGACCAGTCCTGCCAAAAGGCATCGACTGGTCCATAAACACCATACACATGTTTATCATACAAACATGTGTATGGTGACATCATGCCTGTTTGCTTTATTTCAGTTTGGGGAGTTCTGCTTGCTAGTTCGGCTTTCAGTCACAATTTTTAACCAGCTGTAGTTTGTTTTGGGACGCCTACCTTTCTGGGTGCCTAACCCGGTAGATGGCAGACATAAAATGCTTCCAACCACACGGAGGTTTCTACAGGCCATTGCTCCTCGTGTATTTCTGAGGGGGCCAGGTTGTGGCTCGTGGTCCCCAGTAGGTTAAGAACTCCAATCAAATTCACTGATGCCACAGTCTAATACATGTATATACATATCAGCCCGGTATAGCTCCGGGGAACCGGAGGGGCTCGCCACAGAAACTCAGTTAGAAAGTCACCTGCCTACTCATCAAACTGCTTGCTTGCCTGCTTATCAACCCACCTACCGACCCATCAACCTGCCTGCTGCCTGTTAACCTATCTGCCTGTCCATCAATCCACCTTCCTGCCCAAACATAAGAACATATTATAGTGGTTTATTTGTAGGTACAAAGGTGGCATATTAAATAAAGTTGCTAATATCCAAAACATTTTGGGTATTATGAAAAATTAATAATAATAGAACATGAACAACTGCTTCCAGGATAAATGAACAGACATACAGTATTTGCAAATGGAAAAATACTTCACAAAAGCCCCTATAGAGAGGTAAGAGATCAAAAGTATAGTCTTATATTCTTGGTGTTAAATTTAACCTTCTTTAAACCTTTTCAGCATTTAAAGACAGAAATTAGACAATTCTCTACCACAGGCTTCAACACACTGCAAAATTTAATGTAAGAATTGTGAAGTGAGAAGTTGATAAAGTTCAAAATTATGAACCGAGACAGAGAATGTTAAATGAATAGAAGTTAAGAAACTGTCAAAAAGAGTCCATTTAAGAAAAATGAATATGATTAGATATGAATAAAAAATATTAATAGGATGACAGGATGGACAGAGGATTCTCCAAACATGTACATGGAAAATGATTTATATGGTCCACTTGTTTTTTCAAGAAAATGTTTATAATATACAGTGCAACCTCGATCCTTCAGATCTCATTTTGGTGAATCTTCGGTTGCAAAGCACACTTCCGAGGATGGATTTATTCAGTCGCTTCGTCAAACAATTGCTCGGCGAAGCAGGTAATGTGAGGCTTAAAAAGCAGAGCTAGTACACAAACCCGTGGGAAACTTGCCCATAATGTGACATGTTGAAATTATATTATAGCTGTGAAATTATCATGTAGAGTATCGAAAATATAAGGGTACGAATGATAACCCTCATAATATGGCTCCAATCATATTTTTAATGATTTTTGTAGATGGATGCAACACTAGAAGAAAGAGTTGGAATCTTGAGAAAGTCATTAAACATATTTAAAACCAAATTCTATGTTTAGATTTCTTTTTTAGTTGCCATGGTTTTTGTTCACTTAGGTATGGGCCCTGCTACTTTTGAAAATAAGGTTTCATGGATATGGCATGGGAAAAAAATTTATATTGTGAAATCCCTTTACAAATAGGTTCTTCTGGTAACTGTTCAATCAAATGATATGTTGAAATAAAAATTTTGCTCAGCGAAATTAACTCACAGAGTGAGGGGGGAAATATTAGGGCATAAAGAGTAGCGCTCTTAATATGGCTCCAATCACATTTGTAAACATTTTCATGGGTGAAGGAAACATTAGGAGAAAAACAGGTAAAGCGCTGTATTTTTGAGAGGTGCCCCTTGATGGCTCCCTGAAGCTATACTGCTGGGATAGCTTCTCACTACTAAGTCACATTAATCATTGGAGTCCTGTTGGCCTACAAGAGATCAGAGCCAGAATATACTAGGACTACTAGCTTCAGGGAACTCTACCAAAAGGGCCATTCATTACATTCAAAACATTTTTTCTTATATCTTAAAAAAAAAATTGCATTACACAAATGCCTGAAACCACCTCTCATTGCAACAAATCTCTCACTCCAATTAATTGGGAATAGTCCAATATAGTTTGCCGAATCGAAATTGCACTGTATTGACTTGGTCACTTTAAAACAGATTCTATATAACATGCTAGCAAGAAATAAAATACTGTATACTGAAAGTAAACATTGCCCAAAAAATTAAAAAACATGAAATCTGGGGATTTGGATACAGTTTATGAATCTATCAACACTTGCCTATTTATCTCTCTCTCTCTCTCTCATAAGAAATGGGGTAGATTAAGTATTTATAACCATTGAAACACCTTTTTAATAGAAATGGGAAAAATTATCATAAAAGCTGTAGTCTTGTTGCTTACCCGATGTTTCCAGTAGCTGTCCTTCAATTTTTAGGTCAAAAGTTGCTGTAAGGGCACAAAGGAGGTTGTATGCTGCTGTTCTGAGATTGGGGTCAAGGGAACCCAAATTCAAGAGAGCCATATTTAATAACGTTCCTGGAACATCTTTTGGTCGGATTTTTTGGTGTACAGTTACCGAATCCTTTAGAAAATGGAGGAAAATATGTGAAATCAAATTCAAATCAAATGAATGAGGTCTTAGTGTAATGATATGCCACATTGTGTGTGTATTCCTTCAGTAGGTCTTTGATAATTAAAGTTTTGGTTCTACAAAGCCTCCAAAAGCATGTCAAGCCCTTCAGACTCAAGTACACTAAAGAAAATCATGATAAAAAATCTGGTTTGCTTGAAAAGGTGAGGAAATCTTGGGGATAAAAAAATCAATAAAAAAAACTGAGGAAACCACCCAGAAAGTCACAGGTTAACAAAGCAATCCACTGTTCTTGCTTAGAAAACAAAATTAAGAAAGAAGGCAAATGACAGTTGGCAGCGAGCAAACAATCCTTGCTCCAACTCACCTGACCGATATCAGATGGCAGCGCAGACCATCTTGTGTCTGTTAGGTTGAGGGAGGCTAGACTATTCCCTCTGCTACACTAGATGAAAGTAGCAGGGGGGAATAGCCTATGAAGGGGGTGAAATGCTTTGCAAATACCAGGAAAGCTATAGTAGTATTGGCAGACTGAGACCTTGAATTGCCACCTGGTGTTGTAATGTGATTCAGAGTTGTTTCCTCACTGCCAACTATCAGTAGCCTTGTTTTTTTTTATTAAGAGCAATGATTTGTTTTGTTTCTGAACTTTCTAGGCAGTTTATTTGGATGTCAGTGGATCTTTTATCCCCTTACTTTTATCCCTTGCTTCTTTGAGCAAACTAGGTTCTTATACTGGTTTTGGGTAGGCTGTGTACATTTCAGAGACCTGGCACATTTTCAAAGACTCTATAGTATCAGAGCTTAAAACACTATGGTGTTACTGAAGGGGGCAGCACAGACAAAAGCCAGAAGTATTTAGAATACAAGGAACTGTACTTATATTACTTTAATACCAGCAATTATTTTAAATGAATCACCCATGCTATAAAAAATGTAGCAATAATAAATTAAAGGCCTCGTTTAAGATTTTACTAGCCATTGTATAATATTAATCTTCTCATTATTAACATTTACCTATAATATATAATTAACTTATTCTTCTAAAATATATACTTACTGGCTGAGAGAGTTCCCATCTGGCCCTAATGTGGATGATAGCCTGGACAATGTTGTCACAGTCATTATGGATAAATGACAGAGGACCGGATTCATTCGCAATGGTTAAAGTAAACTGGTTATCATCAACTAAACACACCTGGAAAAAAAAATAGCTTCATAAAACACAATTTATAGCAAAATAACAACATAGCATGCATGCTATATGGAAAACGCAACGGTTCATACAAAACTGGATACGAAACAACACCCTAACGTTAATATGTCAAGCTGAAAAACAGCCAAGCCAGCGTCTTATATCCTGTCTTCAGTTTGTCGCTGACAGACCATGAATTAATGCACCTAATAGGTGAGGGACAGTCAAGGAGCCACTGGGGCTCACCCAGAAAGATGCATCTCATTACATTTAATGCTGGATTTTTAGGCGAGTCCCATGGTGATTCCCTGAAACTAACCAACAAGAGTGAAGGAAAAATGGATTTACCAGGAATGAGGAGAGGCAGCAACAATGTCAAAGAAGAAACACTAAAGAGAACCCAAATCTAAATGGGACCAGGACCTTATTAGACGTTCGAAACCCCCCAAGCACGAATATCAGCCGTGCATATTAGCAAAAATGGTGTCCAAAGCTGCAAACTTGCTTACATTGTGGGCCTGAGAGTAGACCACAGGCTGGCTAGCTTTAACGACACTGTGGATGATCTAGGACAGACAGTGCCTTGGAACAGGGAACGTTGGAAACCAGATCAACAAACACCGAGGCACAACTGGTGGCAAGCAGGTAGCAGCAAACTGCTGCTCCACACACACAACAAATGATGCACCCCGACTGGACAAGCCAAGCATCAATTATCAAGAGACCCCCTCAGGAAGCCAACAGTTTCATTCTTTGCCAGAAAAGGAGATGGGGACAGGCAAAAAAAAATAGTCTACCAAAGTCTAAAGAACACACCCGCTCTGGGTGAGCTCCAGCTGGGCACCTCAAACATGAACGATCATGATTTGATTGACTATTTCATTGATTTGATCACTATTTCATAGCTTCACTACAGCCAAAGTAAATGACAATTTTTGTTTTTTCCATGATCAGGACACACATTTTAACAATCCTAGAAGAAAAAACTAATTCTTGTGCAGACAAAGATTGCCTAATATAATAGTTGCACATTCCAGGGTTAAACAGTACCAACTGACCTCTTCAATTTCTGAAGCATAGTAGACATCATTGAGCAACACAGAGTGAGAAAGCACCTTTGTTTTTTCAGCAGAGGTTACTTGAATAGCTGATGGTCCAACCTGAAAATAGAATATCCACTTATATATCAACTAGAAATTTCAAATCTTTCATATACCTAAACAAGATTATTTTGAGTAAATAGGTATTTAATACATAAAAACCTTTGATATACATTTCATAAATATATCTTACCTTGATAGCAACCTTTGTATCCTTGTGTGACAATTTAAGAGCATTATTGAAGACTTTGAGGTCTTCATCTAATGATGTAGTTGCTCCAGGTAACTTCTGTTGGTCAGGTTCAATGTAATCATTCAGTCTTGCAGGAGCATCAAGGAAGATCAGTTTCTTATGGCCCTTAAAAAATAAAAAACCTTCCCTCAAGTTGACAGTTCACAAACAATTGAAAATTCATTTAATACAATTCACTACTTACACTTTTATTAATAAAAAATCCTTAATAAATTATACATTATACTTTTATCAATTAAATTTAAATAATGAGCAGTGTTAAAGGCATATTCAATTTATGAGACATAACCATCTTAAAGATGGATCCAAACTAATTAGACTTATGGTTGAACCACAAGAAATCAAGGGAGACATCCTCAGTACTGTGCTTATGAGAGACGCTTACAATTCAGAAAAGGCTTCCTTCGGTTGTTGCAGAAAAGGCAACAACCGTGGGAAGCACAAGGACCCAAGAAACTGACTGTCGGGGAATCTACCCCACCCCACAGCAGATAAAGCCGTAACTCTACCAGACTGCTTCCACTCAGAGCTGACAGGGGGCCACACCTAGCCCCTGCAGTGAGTCTCACTTCCCATGAGTTATCATTGGTCTTTCACCCTTTGTTCATTTTTTCAAACCCCTTACCTCATTCTACTATAGTTTTAGGAGGGCGATCCTTCTGAGATAGATAGATAGATCTCTCTATCTCTCTCTCTATTATCTCTATCTCAATTTCTTGAACTCTTAACTTGATACTCTGGTTGCATTTTTTAATGTTATGTTAGTCAGATTCTTTCCCATCATTCCTCATCCTCTGCATACATGTCTAGTGATGTCGTGTAGAGGTTTCCTCATATGATGCACAATAGAGGATGAGCTCTGCGAAGCTACTCAAGGGGTCACCCTAAAAATAGTGTTGACTATATAATGAAACATTTCTGGGGGCCTTTTCAGTAGCTCACCCATTCCTGCCCTACTTTCCATGTTTACCCAAGTGTTCTGAAAACTTCATTCAGACTAAAGTGTGATGGCAATGGTCTTGCCAGACCCCTGGTTGACTAGCAGTGCCATCTGGTGGTGCGAAGAGAAAGCAGAATGGTAGGATTTTCAGTTTTGGGGATAGTTTTTTTTTTAATTTGTTTGTACCAAACATTTCTCTGAGGGGTTTGTGTTTCTGTGACCCCCTTATCAGTCATTTTGGAAGGGGGGTTTACTCAGTGTGTAGTCTTATGACTCCATCAGCTCTCCCACTTTTTTGAGGGTGGAAGGATTAACTTCCAGTAGTTCACAAGATGGTCAACTCTGCATTTGATTCGGCCAAGGATTACCAGTTCACAAGCTCTGGAGAACCACTAAGATTCCCCAGATAAGGGGCATTCCATTATGCTCATTGTTCTATAATAATATTTAAAAAGAACAAAGTACTGTAATGTGGTGGCCAAGAATTAGTAACTATTATATCTCGTGCCTCTCAAGAAAGGGAATTTTCTAATAGTATGCAATATTAGACAAAATAAGTTTATAATTTGTAAAGCAAGAGTTACATGGTTCTTGTACATATAAAGATGATGCTTCTTACCTTCAGTGGTGCTAAAATTCTGTCATGGTATTTTGTGTACTCTCTGACCCAAGAGTTGCCATTGTAGATATAGGCTGCATGTATGTTTTCATATGCTACTTCAGGTAAGACAACAAACCACTTTTGAAGAAATTCTGTTCTGTTGAATAAAGTAAGAATGCTGTTATTATATAAACAAAAATTTAATATTAGTATATCTACCGTATTTTAAAATGATTTATTATTAAATAACTAAAACAACAATAAAGTTTGCTTGCTTATTTAGCATCCTTTCAATAAAAACTGCTAATCTAACGGAGAAAAAACATTCCTTAGGCTTATATCAGAGTACAGTACATTGTTTTCTAACTGGGAAAAGTTGTGCTAAATAAGGTAAATTTTCCCCCCTTGTATTTAAAATATACAGCTACATTTTTATTACATAGTTCCCAATATATTTGTTTATTTAATAATTTATTTACAAAAATAGGACAGAAAACCATTTCAGACTGCTGTACGATGATTTATATACGTTATAAAAAAGGACAAATGATTGGCTGATGCAGTTTAATACAAACAAATACAGGGCTATAAGCCTAGGAAATGATAATAGTGTTACCAGATAATAGCGGGATAACACTAAAATTGCCAAATCAGAAAGAGAAAAACCCAGCATTAATTGTAATGAAATCCCTCTTTCTGCTAGGGCCAAGATGGCTCTCTGTTGTTAGCTGCTCTGGATCTGGATAGTTCCATGTCTATCAAATCATACAATGGTAGTACTCACCCCATACCTTGCAAGTCATTTTGCATGAGTTTCAACCCTTAACTGGAAGGAATGACTGGGCGCCATTCTTAACTGTACCTTTCTGTTCATCTAGCAGTAATTGGGAACCTGATTGTAAACTGATTGGGAGATCATGTTCCAGGGGAAACTAGTTGAGTAAGGATCAAGATGAGCTGTGAGAGGGAAAGCTTTATGCCAGCTAACAACAGCCAGAATTAACTTTCTCTTGTACCCACAAATATTTTTTTTTTACTTATAAACACATGATCACCCTTTTTCTCTAAGATCATCACAGGACAGAACTGACACAAAAGTTTAATATAATATTTGCCTAAACGATTTGGGTATATGCGATTTAAATGCTTCATATGGTTAATTATCCAACACTACAAAAAAATTTCAGAGAAAGTGCTTACCAGAATCACAGCACAAATATGAACATTCTCCATGATTTTATCAAGAAACAAACTGCATATGAACTTTGATACAGTGCTCACCTGAACCTGTTATCAGCACACGTGTGAGTGAAGTCTACCACCAGCTCAAACGGTTTTCGGCAGATGGGTTTTAGGGTAAGGATCACATGGTATATTAGCAGATCCCCATTAGTCTCACCAATTCTGTAGGAATTATTTTAATATGTATAAAAAAAAGTTATCTTGTTAGGTAGTGATATCAAATCTATATTGCCAGCCATAACTAGTGACATTGCTAAGCTTATTTCTTATCACAGAATACAAAAACAGTAAAAGTAAATAATAATAAACATTTATTGCTCACTTGTATCTTCTTGCAATATAATAAAACACTGGGTTGCCAGCCTTAGATGTGCCCGCTTGGTAAAAAATATTTAATGTTTTTATGGATTTGAATTCATCCTTTTCGTGCATATTATGTTTTGACATAATCTCTTCAAATTTTGTACTTGTCATATCCATACTGCTCCATCTGTAACATCCAATAGCAATAAAAAAATATTATATGGGAAATCTAAAGCTAAACTTAATAAACACAGTTGTAGTATATTTCTACAAGAACATTCATATGATAATATATCACCAATTACCGATATATATATTTTCCATACGATAATCCAAATACGGAACAAAAATGTTGCAATGATTGTAGCTTACTGAGAATCAATAGGTTTGTGCTCCGGTGGGCCCAGGTATGCCAACAAGGTTGCCATTTTATCAAAAGGTCTTCTTCCAACTGCTTTGTGATCCCGACTACTTGACAGGTATTCCCCTATCCAGATACATGAGAGTCAGATAAGCAAAATCTTGCAATAAAAACAAGCATTAAACAACAAATGTCTTAATAAATTCAGCATTTAATGAAATATTTAATGAAATATTATTATTATTTTTTTTTTTTTGGTGGGTTCCTTCAGTTCAAAGCCTAAACACCCTCAGCAGGCCCCTGAAGTCACAAAGGCCTACAGGACCAGAATCTGCCCACCCACTAGGGACCCCTCAATAGGCAAGGGAGTCTAGGGATATCACATCAATCTAGACCAAAAGGAAAATCACCAGAAACGTAGAGTGCAAATATTTTAAGCAGGACATCAATGGCCACTGGTTAGCTGCGGACATCAATGGCCACAATGGCTGGAGCAGAACCCACTGCCAGTACATTGGGTTCTGCTTCACTTAACAAGGAATACTCCTTGTATTACAAGGAATATCCAGAATATTCCTATGCTGCCAAACAATAGAACACTTCTGAACAGGTTGAGGCAGAAGGTATCCCTAGTGACAATGAACGGAATGTGAATAGTATACATTCTTGTGAAATATAAAGAATATGTAACCCATATGCAGACCTGAAGGGCCAAGGAAACTGTACCCTTAGCTGCAGGAGCCACCAGCTCCCAGAGTGAGGTGACATTACTTACAATGCACCACTTGGAGGTGGATGGTGGGGGGGCATTGTAAGGAATACTTGTTCAATAGTTGTCAGAATTTTGCTTTGGTTGTTCAGAATATTCCAAAACATATTTCAGAGGATATCTGAATGTCATCTAGCTTCCTCTATTTGCATTTAATAGTAGTAGTGAGTTGACATATGAACCCATGTCCCTGGTAGCCAAAGAAAATCTCTCATACCTGGTATGAGCTAGTCTATCCCGGAAAGTCCAGTGTAAATATCAAGCGGAGCTACTGTTGGGGATGACCAGAAACAGTTAAACTGACTTGACATCTTTAACAGAGTTAAAATCCATCACCTGACAACTATGTAAATTAACAAGGGCTTTAAATTTGAAAGTTTTGAATGAAGAATTCAAAAGCCAACATCTAGAAAAATAATGTATAACATGTACGTATATATAGGCACATACTCTCAGATGGATAGATAGGTGATGTTATATGCTGCAAAATGAAAATGTCAGAAGCATAAAATTAAATAGAAAAGGAAAAGATATTGGGCTATGATCATGCACTGAGGAAGTTTTTTTTTTCTTACCTATTTTCTCTTGATGGTTCCACAGTAGTCTGTGTAAGGCATGAACATTAGCATCACTGATGAAAGAGATGCTGTGGCTGGCTTGTTCCACACTTTCACAGTCACTTGCTATTTGTATAAAAAACCGCCGAGCACCCTCAAAGTGTTGCCGCACAAAGTCGTTGAATGGAAGCATGTGCTGCTCTTTACTGAACTCCACATGGTTAGCAATGTTCTGCAGAATTTTGGACATCAGCATTAAGCCACGCTTTATCTGCTGATTTGGTTGCCTATCCAAGATACCTGTCTCGCATGGTGATACTGTCAACAAAGGTGCACTCATGTAATTACTGTACAAATTCATTAGCCAAAAATTAGTTAAGTAATTAAATTACCAACATTCTACAAAACCATAAATATTAAATAACAAATTTCATCCCCTTCCTTCAATATTTACATTTAAAGTAAAATATTACAGAATTGAGCAATACTGTAAAAAGAACTATGTGCTAGTAATTACTACTATTTCTTAATAGACAAATGTCTTTAATTTAAATAATAAAAACATTAATATACATTTCATTCACCTGGGCTCTAGGAGACTCGAACCACAGACCCCACACGTGTGGCAGAAGCTCTATCCACTCGCCTACGAGTAGTCTTAATAAGGAAAAATTCCAGAAGCAACAACTGCTGCTATGTTGGAATTTTCAACTTTTCCCGACTACTACACTGAAGCTCGGAGGAATTAGCGATCCACACCCATGTCATATAAATTGTCATCCACACTTCCGTGGAAATAAATACATTTCATTCACCTAGGCTCTAGGAAATTCGAACCACGAACCCCACTCCTATGAGGCAGAGGCTCTATCCACACGGCTATGAGTAGTCTTAAAAAGGAAAAATTCCAGACGCAACTACTGCACTGTTGTTATGCTGGAATTTTTGGCGGTTATCGAGACCGCGGTCTCATTTGAGCAAGCAGCGGTTTGTTTTATCTTGCTGACTTTCTGGCTACCTTTCCTGGTAGTGGCATAAATTAATACATAAATGTCACTACTTCCTGCACCTCTGTGAGGAGGGACCAGGTTCTGGAACCTACCCCTCAGTAGGCCTATAGAACTCCCGAGGTTGATGGGACCTATTAGATGAAACATTATCAGTGATGGGAGCTTCTGCGAGCCACCGGGGATCACCCAGAAATTACCATTTCATTACATACTAGCTTTTTATTATTATTAATACAGTACTGTTATTTGGAATTGTCTTGAATTCTTTAGGGTATCTGATCAAACTAAATATTTCTCTGTTTTGAGTTTTTGTGACCCTCTTTCAGCTTTCTTTGACAAGGTTTTTCCCTAGACTGTGGAATCATCTGACACCCTCAATTTCCTTGCCTCTGTAAGGAAGCAGGGACTCTTGTTGTTTGCTTATGGTCTTGTAAGGCCGAGATGCCTGGTGAGATGGTATTGGCTCTGTGGTACCAGTGCACAAGCCCTGGAGAGCCAATGAGGGGGCCACACCAAAAACATTTTTAATGATTTGGTATAGTAAAAATGTAATAGAAAATTTTGATATTTGCAATTATGCTTATTAGTTGTATTTATATTGATATTATATGTCCTGGGAACACTTGAAGCCTTGTTTTAAATTCTTCAGATTATATTTTCTTGTAAAATATGAAGATTCTGGTAAATAAAATATGCAAAATTTTTTGTCTATAAAATGTTGATACGACAAGAACAGGGCTGAAACCTTGGTGATGCAAAAAAGGGCTTAAGTGATTACAGTATATAAAGTTTTCAATAACCATAATGTAGGCCTAATCAGGAGCTTAGGATAAATTTATAACTTAAAAACTCTATGAAAGATACCCAAATGATGGTAAAACAAACCTATAGCAGGGTTGATGAAGCGCAGAAAAATTACTGTTCCTACAGCACCTATATTGTTTTGAGGAAATTGTGGAAACCTCTTACTTAGAACTTGGTAGAGGCAGTGACACATACTGCGCAGCTGTGGAGGAAATCTGAAACAAGTAACCAGAATCAAATCATGAAGAAAATTTAATAATCTTATCAGTAAATGAACAATACAATATAGCAGTTAAATCTATGTTCATGGATAATGTTGATTCCTAATTACTGTATATAGCACTGCTTGTTTAATTATCTACCTCCTTGAATTTCATATCTTTCAAATCAAAGGTTGCTCCCATCTCGGTAGACAAATTCATAGACTGAATACGAACTTGCCTAATTGTGCCTCATCTGTGTCTAGAGACCAGCAATAGGAACTATGAGGCCCTTGCCTCATAGCAATAGTCTAGAACATATATAGTTTCCAATGCTCTTAGTTCTTTGATGCATTTGCTCTTGAAGATATGAATCAAAAAGACTCTCCTGACCTTTGCTTCAAAACTGTTCAACTGTTTGCAAATCACACCAAACATTAATATTTTTGACAACCTTCCAACTCATTTAAGATTCAAATTGCATCTTGTTCTGCTTTACCTCAACAGGAAAAATCAAACATTGAATGTAATGAAAAGCCCTTCTCTTATGGGCTGTAAGTAGCTCTCCGAGCTTAAAGCTTTCGCAGTCCAGCCACTTGACACATGTCTGACTAAATATTCCCAGCTTGTCAAGTCCCAATTCAGTGATGTCTAAAATGCGTATACTATAATCATTTTATGTTTTCTGACTTATTTTTGGGGTTATAACTATAAATTTAGCGTTAAAATGTTTGCAAATGAATATTATACAGTACGTATAGAAGAAAAACAAAAGGTACAGTATACTGATAATATATTGTGCATGACGGTGGCAAATATAAAAATGTTTATGAATATTTCAACATTCCATTCATTTTTCAACATGAATAAAAAATTAAAATATGAAATGTTTGCACATGATCAATCTATATACTGTTGTTGTAAAAAGAAAACAACGATAACGTTTATACAATTCTGTCGGGTAATTTACAGAGCAAACAGAAAATATACACAAGCCGAGCAATTATCATCTTAAGTATTTGAGTGGCTGGCACAGGTGACATCTGGTTGGTCCCCTGATACTTTTACTTATAACACATTGACACACTGATAAATGACTGGGAACCTCAGATCACTGGGGCTGCCATCTGGTGGCAGGTGAGTGGTGCTAAGTAGCGACTGGACCTCAACAATGTGTACATAGTTCACATCAGAATTGCAAACATTGTCCAAGTAATTGCTTGTTATGGTGCACTCTTCTCTACCTTTGTTTCTGTTGCCATGTATTCCAATACCTCTCTGCCTCTACTGAGTGGGCCAGATCCTGTTCCCAGTCTTCGAAGGCAAATGTGATTCGTTAAAGCCTCATGTAGTACCCAAGGTTTGGAGAATTCCATGAAGATAGCTTGGTGAACCACCAAGGGAACCCATTAGAAAGAGGCATTTCATTACATTCAATACTGGATTTATCCCTTATAATCATATTGTTTGGAAAATTATTTAATACATTGCCAAATCTTGCTATAATTTGGGAGAATTATATAGTGTGGAACTTTTTCAAATGAAAAAACTTATCTATAAAACAAATGCTTCAAGAATAACACTTCTTTATATGATTAAAAAATATTTACAGTACAACCAGATGAGCCTCATGAACAATAATCCTGTGTACTAAATTAAGGGAAAATAAAATACAGTATATAAGCAGTTAAATACATTTAGTTAAAAAGTCGTGCACAACATACTTATCTGACGAACAAATAATAGCACCAAACACCCTCTGAGTGAGAGCTATGAGATTTCGTCGATTGTCTTCAACATCCTCCGTGGGATCAAGTCTTGCTGGATCAACCTCATATGAGTGAGCACAATCATCCATCAATGGCCGTACCAATGGCTCTAGAAGATTATGAAGATAAGAAGCTCCATAGATCTAAAATGCAAGAGCAAAATGTTTCCAGGGTGAGTGAATATATTAAGCTGATCCAAGTTTAATCAAATTTTGGTTTTTAAAATATAATATTTCATTAAATGCAGTACTGTACTGTAATTACTGAATCCACTGACTTGCATGTAAACACACACACATACATACTGTACATAAATTCACACACACAGTATTTTTATGTGATTTCATAGGTAGTACAGATAAACTTTATTGATATATAGAATCTCAATAGTAAAGTACAAACTTTGTACCTGGTAAATTATATAAACAATACTGTAGATACGACCAAAAAGTATAATGAAGAGTGCAATGAAATACCATTTTTTGTGCAGCTCTGTAATAACTGCCAAGCCACAAATGCATCACCAAGATATCCACCACCCGATTGTTAGAAAGATGGTGGTGAATAGACTAAGAATGCTCAAGCACAAAGATTTGTGGAACACTGAGTCAGCCACCTAGAAATCCAAAGGTCTATCATGCTGACAATTGACTAAAATTTGAAATGGAAGGAAAGAAGAAAATGAACTGGAAAATGAGAGACGAAGGAAATCCCACCAACTTCAATGTCGGTGAAAGAAATCTTCCGTGGGATTGATCAGGAATCCAAACCAGGCCAGCTGAGAATAAGCCAGATTGGAAACTATAACTCGTGTCAAGTCAAAGGGCAGAACCTGAACCAGTAACAGAAACACCTGGTTTAAAAGCCTAGCCAGCCTCTGAACCCGAGATGAATAGACATATGCCCATGCACATCCTGAAAATCCTGGGGCAACTCCAGAAAAACCAAACGGATGCGAGAAGCCATGCGAATGAGATGCTGGGGTCAGGGACAGGCATGTCAGCCAAAAATCCCAAATAAACCCCATCTAGGTCCACACCCATGATGGAATTAACCAGGACATTTGCGAAATGACTAGGAACCGGAACCATATCAATTTAGAAAGAACCAAATCTCTGGCTTGCAGACAGGTAGACTGTCTGGAAGGCCAAAAAAGCCAGTCACGGAGGAACTTGCAGCAGCCTGAGTCAGGTTCAAACTGAAAGGAACAACTCAAAAGTGGAAACCGAGACACCCCACACAAAAAACGAACGATTCCCTTAACCTAGGTGAATGACGAGTTATCAAGGAGGGCACCCAGAAATAGGGTTGTTAAGTGGTGTTTAAAATATCTATTTAGTGCATGGATTGTTGACAGCCTTTAGTCTTTTATCAGGTGTATTATTTAAAATGCAGCCAGCATGATGAACTGACTCAACAGAGTATTGTATCATGAATAATATATCAGTTACTATAAATAATTTGTCAAACTAACAAAAAATATTACTGGATTAAAGTTTAATTTCACCTTAAAACCCAACAAATTTAATAACACTACACATAAAACAATAAAAGTGACTATCATAAAAACGAACCTTGAAGCAGAAAGACATAATTTTGCTTCCGAGTGAGTTGCCTCTGAAAAGTGTTTGCATACAGTCAGAGACCTCGACCTCCTTGTAAAACATGTTCCACAGCAGCGGGGACAGCAGGTGCTTGGCATCAAACAGGGTAACAAACACACGGGCGAGCTCATCCTGTCAACATCAAGCATCATATTTTACATCTACCAAAGGCCACTTATTAATGAAATGAAATACATTTCAATCATCTGACTCCATATCATTAAATGAAATGAGCAATATAATGCAATAATTTCACAGAACTATTTTTACTATTATACACAGAATAATTAATTTTAATCTCACTATAAAAACTCATGCTGAATAAAGCACTCCAATACAAATGTAGGTAAATTCAAATTAATGGTTATTTAAATTTTATTAGAAAAACTATTAAACTTTGCCAATTCTTGGTTTTTATAGTAGAAGAAACATTATCTTTGTAGCTATATTTAATGCTTTAATCGAGAGAAATTAGCTAATTTTAAATCATTTTTCTGTGCTAAAACTAACAAATCGGGCACCTAAGACACTCATGCCCTACAGGATTCAGGTACAAGTATACTGCCTCCTCTGTGAGCTGGGAGAGCTGAAGGAATCATAATACAGGACAAACTGAGGAAACTCTTCCAAAAAAAAAAAAAGCTGAAAGCAAAAACTCAACAATCATTGAGAAATATTTGATACCAGTGAATACCAAACTTTAAAAACTTTCCAAAATTCTAAACAGAAAAAACTCACCATTTCCTCTTCTCACTTCTTTGGGTTGCAACTTTCAGGCCATACCATTCAGTCTCAATTTAACTTCAAGAACATTCATCAAGTCAACTTATGTCATTCTCCGTGACCTCCAACGTCGCAGAATCCGGGTGCTGGTTTATCTAGATGATTGGTTAGCTTGGGGGGGGGGGCCCAATCACAGTATGAGCATTTTTACTAAGGATTCAGCCCTTTAAGTAATGGCTTCCTGGTGATCTTTCTGAAGAAGCAGCTGGTTCCATCCCGGTCTTCGACTTGGTTAGGATTGGTTTGGAATTTCAGTAATGCTTCTCTCTCTTCCCCTCACTCAGGTGGGTCTCATTCTGCTGGCTTCTCATCTTCATTTGGTACTGTCCAAGTGTTGAATTTCTTGCCCTAAGCTTGAGCATGGATAGCTAAAGGCAGGTCACTTGAAATTTGCATTCATCGTTTACCTGTCGAGTTAGGTCTGGCCGAATGCATTATTCTGCCTTCTGCATTGGATTGCCCTCTTACCACAGATCACTTAGTAAAAATACAATATTTCCTGAAATGGATTCTGTGTTGAAATTTCTGCAAAGTTTTCAGCCTTCAATTCCTTCGCGCCTTTTTTCACTGCCAATCGAGCTGTTCATGGATGCGTCTGACTTTGGTTGGAGCTATATTTTCAGCTATCATGCGAGTCATGGGAATACCTGGAGTATACCTTGAGTGGGTTCTGAGAGTTCTATTACTCCCCAAGTCTGGCCTTGGACGTTGTATGAGCCTACGTAAGAACTGTCTCGTATGGGAGGATAGGCCTTCTGCAGTTTCCTTAATTTCTGTTTTTATGTATTGGTTTAATAGCATTTTCTTACCTTTGTCTCTGATGGGGAACAATAATACATCTCCACTTGAATTGTCTTCCCATAATTGAACCCATCCTCCTGTTATATACAGTAGAACGTTTTGTGCCCATGTGGACCATCGTTGATAGATAGAAATAATGGACAATTAGATAGTAGAATTTGGTACTATTCACTTTAAAGTCCGGAAAAAATACTGTAAAGCTAAAAATCAAACTTTAATATTCCTAGGCCTAGTATAGCACATATATGTACAGTACTATATTAAGCCACAGATAATGTGTATTAGGCCTAGGAAGATTAGTATGGGTTAGGTTCAGTTTTATTTGCAACAAAAAATACAAAAACTTTTCCAGTTTCTCCAAATTCAATAATACCAATTTTTACTTTCTAATTTCCCTTTACGTCAATATATGTATGATGGTCGTCATCGTTACTATAAGCACTACCTCAACAGGAGGCTGGGCTGCTTAAGTCATTGTTTAAACAGTCATTACAACTCTGGAAAGCTCTTCTATATTCATCCTGATTCCAATTATCTGTCCTCACTCTCTCTCTCTCTCTATCTCATCATATATCATTTTATTAAATAACACTGTACCCAGTTCCTTCATATTCACACACAAATTTAATATTCTTTATTTTTGCATTATTAATTACACTCACCTCTATACAGTAAGCTGATTATACATTGCTAATGAACAGTACTGTATCTACTCTCTCATTAACACACAAGCATGTTTGATCCCTTACCATTTGTGGTGTGACAACAACTGACGCAAGAGCCATTGCAATTGGCAGCTCTCCCTTATCACCAATCATGGTCACTAGCTGCACAAGCTGCTCATAACGATCAGCAAGAACAGTCTCTGCTAATGTATCAAATTCTGTTCCTTGTTGCAAGATCTTTGTTAACACCTGTAACAAAAATACATGAGCTCAGTCAAGATATTGCTTTCATTGTCAAAAAAATGACATAATACAAATTTTTATAAGAGGTTAATAAAAAATTTAATTTTTTTATAAGAGGTGTTCCATGAACAATTCCCACATATGAATCAAGGACCACCTATAATTATCATACAAGTTCAACTTGAGTCCAATAAAGTGATATTACTATTATATTGTCTTTCTTCATTTAACTTAAATGAAGAAAATGATTAATCAATAATCACTCCTAACCAAATACAAAACAAAGCTGCATATCATACAATACAGCTCACCTCAATAAATGCAGCTCTAGTTTGTAAGTCTTTATGGTATCCCAGTCCTATGGAATGCATGAGGCCAGAGTCAATATTTGCTGACAGAAGATTTGACATAGCTTGAATGGTGGCATTGCGTAATGTAGACAGCTTCCCTGGTTGAACACGTTGGCGGCTTACATCTTTTTCCACCTGTTTAATTAAAAAAAAAGTTAAATTTCTATTAAAAAGAAAAATAGAACCTCCTAAGACTAAACAGATTATCACCAACAAAACTGTAAGTAATTTAATGAACAAATCCACAAGAGCCGTGACGAGGATTCGAACCTGCGTCCGGGAGCATCCCAGACACCCCAGATTTGTTCATTTGATGCATCACGTTAGTGTGATCTCTGTGTGTGATCTGTAAGTAATTTTTTTACTTTAGGGATTCCATCCTAGCAAAGCTAAATTGCTTACTCAAGAGTGAAATTTACCTTGCAGTTTCCTTGTGTTGGTTTCGAGGATCAACATCCCTGCGGCCCGGTCTATGATCAGGCCTCCTGGTTGGTCTGGTCAACCAGGATGTTAAACACAGTTGCTCACAGCCTAATATATGAATTTTCCAATAAACGCAGCATATCACCGAGGTTAATGTTCGTTTTATTATTATATTGTTTGTTTTAATTTTGGACTTTTAATAAACTTTGATCCTGTTTACTCATAAGCACATTGACTTGAATGCCTTTCTTTTTTTTATGTTGTGTCAATCAGCTGGATATAACTACAGTACAGTACCTTAATTTATGCAAAAATATAAATATATATAACCTATATATATAACTCAAGGTTATATATATAAATATAATTTATAAATATATATTACAAATATATATTTTAAATATATATTATAAATATACATTTGTAAATTTATAAATATATATAAATATATTAATAAAATATATTAATATTAATAAAATCTATAAAAAATAAATTCTATAAATATATTTATAAATATATAAATACAGGTTTATATAACTATATTAAAAAATATATAAATATAAATAAATACATACATATATGTTGTATACTGGGGCACATGTTACACTTGTAAATATGCTGCACAAACCTAGTCTCATTCATTCATTGATAAGTAGCAAAATTAACATTTTTGGTCATTCATAGTTTCCACATTTCTAAAATTGATATATGTTACTTACTTCTTGAGCCTCCATGCAGTCATTGAGGAGGTTCATGAAAAGGGTAAAGTATTTCAAAAAAAGTTGAGATTTTGCCTCCATTAGGTCACCACGGTCGCTCTCCTCTGGTTGAAGTGGAAGGCCTCGAAGAAGGGCAGCCACTGCCTCCATGCATGCTTGATCTAGATCTCTACAGCATCCCGTAATGTCATACTGCATATACATGCTGTAGGAGACAAAATGCTTTCTTATTCTCTTCTTCACAATAATCTTAATCTATTATACACCATTTTTTTTTCCTCCCACATTTAACCTATTGTAAGGAGCTAAAAGTAGGGTATTTCAAAGAACCTCCAACAGAGTCAGTTTCCCTGAATATATTGAAATATTTTGTTACAAAACTTTCTTCTTTCTAGGCTAGTGCCTCTCTGGGCCCCACATACTAAACAGGAAAACAAAGTGTAGCTAAAGATAATGATAACAATGATGATGTTGGTGGCTGGTATGACCCCCCCCCCCCAGGCAGGTGATTTGGTTGTTCATATGCAACAATGATCAGTTGCCCTCTTGTCCTCTTTGTTCACTTCTTTCTTTTAAGAAGTAGCTTGTTTTGTTAAGCCTAAACTTTCTGTTCCATTTATTATAGTCAGTTTGTGATTCTGGATTTCAGTAGGTAAATGCACATCTCAAAGATCTGGTACAATTCTTAAGGTGGAACAATGTGTAATGGGGCCTTCTCAAAAATGGATACAGTATATAATGCATGAAATCTTTATAGTTTTTAATTACTCACTTGGACACAGATGTCACATCAATGGTTCCTGGAGGAGCAATTTGGTGAGAATTGCCCATAACCCAGTCAGTGAGGTAGTCAACCATTTTGTTGCGGAATTTCATCTCTTGGCGAAAAGCGAGGTCATCTCTTCTTTGCATCATTACTTCCACGAGCTGGCAAAGTTTGGTCTTTATGTGTAATGTGTGGACAGTAATATCCAAGTGCCGCACATATCTAATGAAGAGAGGGAGTAAGATTATTCTAACCATCTCCTACGGATAACTTGAGAACTTAATTCTCAGAAATGTATTAATAAATTAAATTATAGGTACTACATTCCAAAGACCATTATCACAGATCCATTTCAGTTTATGCTTAAAATTCTGTTATACAAACACATAAGAGGAAAGTAATGCAGTGTATCTGTTCCTCTCAACAACAGAGAACCTATGTTTAAAACTCATTCGTGAACACCATCTATCACAAGATATGGTGTCTCATCTTGGAGACACCAAAAACTGGTATACCATAATAGTGCAGGGAGTGCAATAATTACAGGTTGCTCTAATACATACAGAGTACTATAACGAGTATAGGCAACATATTGAGTGCAGAAAGAATAATAAAATATATATAAGAGACAGGGAGAGAGGGAGATGGAGAGAGAGGGAGACAGGGAGAGGGAAACAGAGAGACAGATCAAACAAATATTGTATAGGTAAAGACCACCAGTACAGCTTTGTTCCTATAGGATCAGACCCCCTTTGGTCCATGAGGAAAGAGAGTGCAAGGAGCTTTCTCAAGGATCTGGGTTCAAGGGTCATCAAAATAACAAATGACCATAGACTAGTGATCTTTCTTTGCAAGTGCATCACTGTGGTGATCCAGAGAGAAAATGCCTACTGCTTCCTCAGTTCCTGCCCAGCTTCGGAAGTGTTAAAAGAAATTTACAACCTTCAAGAAACAAACTTTCTTCTTAATGTTCAAATTTTTTAATTAATCTGTTTTGTAACTGTGTAATCTTATATAATAAAATATACAATAATAATAAAAAGGAGTGGTAGAAGCAAATACTCATATGTATTTAGAGTCAAACAACAAGATTTTTCTCTGAATGTTCTTTATTTCCTTTAGTGAGGCTATGGATCCCACACTTAGGCATGCAGATATACTTACCTCACTATTGCCAACATCATAGGTTCAATAGATGTAACGCCCAGATGCTCAGAAGGATGATCTGTCTTGTTCTCTAATACATTCTTCATTATGAATATTATGTGCTCTATAAATTGCGTGTTAAGTTCGCTCACAATTACCTGTAACAATATATTTTTAATATAATATCAGGGTAAACTGGCAAGCAATTACAACTATATTGCACTTGGAAAGGATCAGGATAAGGATTTGGGATGGGACGGGGAAAGGAATGGTGCCCAACCACTTGGACGGTCGGGGATTGAATGTCGACCTGCATGAAGCGAGACCATCGCTCTACTGTCCAGCTCAAGTGGTTGGTCAAGATTAAATCTAATGGATGAAATATAAAACAAAATCTTATATAATAAAACACTGTTCAGGAACAAAATGACTTGGAAGCAAGTTTGCACATACTACCTTACTGGTCTGAAAGTTATAATATCAATACACAGGCTTATTATGAACAAATCCACAAGGGCTGTGACGAGGATTCGAACCTGCGTCCGGGAGCATCCCAGACACGTTCTTTATGTTCTTGTAAACCTTTAAAATTAATCTGTTTCACTTCATTCCGATAGCATAGTATACAGCTGACAGTAAAAAGAGGCATACATAAATATTACAGAAAATAAGATGTAAGTAAGGAGCAAACACATAATCTCACCTGTCCCTGTTGATCGAAGAACTTATCAACTATGACTTTAGTTTGGTCAAAGAGAATTGGATAAAGTAACGGGGACATCTCATGCCCCACTAACTCTTTTACATGTTTCTGAATTTGTGTTCCAAACCTTTCATTATTACAAACCAGAAGCTTGAGAAGATGGCCAACAAACCTGTGGATTACAGAAATAATTGAAACTTCCCATATTATATCAAAATTAGGTTGAGAAATATGCAAATTAAGAAAGTTTTAATATGTAATAATATTGGAAAAGATGATTCAATTAAAAATATTTTACTAAAGATTTAGAGAAATTAAATGATTCCACCTTAGTGGTAAAGCACCAAACATACTGTCACACCACATATTAAACAAACAACATTAATGATCTTTCTTAACTTCTGTGAAAACCAAAAGCAAAAGTGCTTTTGTGGTATCACCAAATACCATACATAAGGGACACACACGTGCTGTACAGTACTTTGAACTCAAAGTTTGGAAAATATCTTTCAGTTCAGAAATACGAGCATCAAACTAGTTTTCTCAATATTTCTCAACCAAATAAAAAAAAGCATTAAATGCAATGAAACACTTTCTTTCTGGTAGTCTCAGTGGCTCCTTGAAGCTATCTTACTAACATGGCTTCCACTACAGAGGTCCTCATGGCAAGGAGGGGTGCCCACAAATTTTTCCCAAGATGGCGTCTGTTTACTGGAGGCCTGAGGAATTGGATACGAGCCCCGTGTACCGGCGGGCATTTAAAATATTACCCAAATACAGGCCCTGGTTGTGATGTGCACAACCAGTCAAACAACGCTGGTTGCGACAAACAGTTGAAGGGTTAATGGACAAACATAACTTGCTTTCTCTTTGCACCTCAACATTAATTGCTCCTGCTACCAGACATGGTCTTAGCAGAACATTATCCAAGTTTCTATTAAAACAAAAATATTAGGAAGGAAAATCTTTCAGTAATGGAGCGGTACTGTGTAGAATCATGCGAGGGGAAGAACACATTGTTAGGCAGGTTGACAAGGTTGGGAGTGGTCTGCTTGGGGACCAGGGGCCAGATTTACGAAGCAGGTACGCAAGTACTGTACTTACAAACATGTTCATCTTTTGTCAATCTTTGATGGCTTTGGTTACATTTATTAAACAGTTTACAAGCATGAAAACTTCCCAGTAAACTGTTGTTACTGTTATAAACAGCCTCCTGGTGCTTCGGAGCTCATTAACTGTTTAATAATTGTAAACAAAGCCACCAAAGATTGAGAAAAGATGTACAGGTTCGTAAATGCTTGCGTAACTGCTTCATGAATCTGTAAGGGAAAACAAAAATAAGCCTCTAACATCTCCCTGGGTATAGATACAAGGCCATAAAAAGGAAGACAGGGCAAACCAGGGACCTGCTCAGGTCAACCTTGGTTCAACCTGACCAAGATCGAACTCTCCAAAAAATTAAACTCAAGCCCATAAATACACACCAAAAATCTAAAGAACTGCCAGACCAAAGGTAAGCTTTGAAGCTGCCATCAAAACTCAGGAGAAACGCTGAAGCCTCTGAGGCCACTAGCACACTTCCCGTTGAAACCCAGTCGCATGAACTGAAGCTGAATGGTGCCCCAACTGATGAAGAACCAGACTAGAAGTGGCAGAGTGGTAACACATTCAATTCACCCCACGCTTTGCGAGCAATTTGGCCTAGGTTCATATCCAAGCCAAGGAGAATTGACTAAGTACCACTCCTTGACTGACCGCCTCTGGTCCCAGCTGGAACCAATTAGCGGGTTGAAACAGCGGGTTATATTTCAGGAAAACTAGTGGGTAATGCTCACTATGAGCTAAGGGAAGGGAAAGCTCTCAGCCTGGTAACAGGAGTCAGAATTCATCTGTTCTTGTACCAACCTGTGTATAAAATGAAAAAATAGTGACAGTCCACTAAGTCACCCGAAGCTAATTACTGGAACTTACCAAGACCAGAGGCCAAGAGCCCCTGAAACAAGGGCACAACCAACATAATCATGATATCATATGGAAACTTCACATAAAAAGAAAAAAAAAAGGAAAATCATAAATTCTCCTTAAGAGGACTTCTTAATAATATTTGAAAGAGCAGTACAAGCATCTCAAATGTACTTACTGTGTAACAGGACAGTACTGCATATCCTGATTGGTACTGGGCAATACAGCAGGCTTTCTAACGTCAACAGTCAAGCTGGGGCTAACTCCCTGAGGTCGTGAAGGAGATTTACCCAGTAAACAAACTCCACCCAATGCACACAGAAACCCAGTCATATTGGCCCACTCATTAACTTGATCCTGAATCTGTTACATTAGAGAAAACAAAAATTAGATCATTCCTAGGAATTCATACAATATAAGTAATAGTATATATACGGTATGAATATGTAGCCTACATATGTACAATTATTTATATGTAGTTACAGGAAGGAAGGTATGCTTGTGGTGCAGTCATCTTCATATATTTTCAAATACAGACTTACAACTAGCAGCAATTTTAGCATACACAACTTCCTTCTGAAGGTTGTTCCATCACACCAACTATTCTGTTACTGAAGAAATATTTTATATACTTTCTACACTGGTGTTCTTTTATCTCAAACTTATATCTTCTCATTCTGTTTGGGGATTAGATAATAAAAAGTCTACTTGATTAACTTTATCAAACCATGCCATGTCCCTATGTTTACTTTAATCTTCAAGTAGGAAGCCTAAGGAAATCTAATCTCTCTTATGAGTCAACTCTCTGAGTTTCAAAATTCTTTGTAATTTAGCTATACTGTACTGTATAGCTATATTACAAAGAGTTCTAAATTACAAGAATTCATTTAAAATGTAAGCACCACCACTGCAGTATTTTTTTTATTCATACCATTCCTGCTTCAGAAGAACATGCACTACCCAGGGTGGGCCTAAAGAGTGGTGTATAATCAAGAGCACCAGACAAAATGTAGTAGTTACCTGGTCGATACCCTAAGGTGGCCTGGGGCTGACAACTAAAAGTTGCTGGCATGTATATGGCTTGGTTGCCAATCTTGTCAATGCAGTTACAGTACTTTTGTTGCTTCCTACCTTTCTGTTGGCTTTTTCCTTCAGATTACTGTGGAGGTTTAGTACGCCTCATATTACCTTTGCCTCTACTGAGGTATGAACTTGTAAATTTTAGAACCTGGTGATGTAACCGTTCTAAAAACTTCTTCTAACAGTTCAACCATTCAGTATCAGGAACGGTTGAAGGCCACTGGGCTAATACTGCCACCCAGGCATGACAGGGTGAATCTCATCGAAACCTTTAAAATACTGAACCATTTGGAGGATATCGATCTGGTAAATTTCTTCAAAAGGTCAGATGTAGCACGAATGAGGAACAATGGGTTCAAGCTCAACAAACCACAATGTAGGACAGAAAACAGGAGATGCTTTTCACCCATAGGGTTGTAAACCCGTGGAACTGCCTACCCGCCGAAGCCGTAAATGCCAAAACTCTGCTGGAAAAGATTCAGGGCAAATGGGGGGGGGGACCTATGACAAACTGCTGGCTTCCTGTCCTAATTGAGGCCATTAGTATTAGTGACCCTAATATTAGTGGCCCTCAGGTAAATTCAGGTAACCTAAATTTGGAGCTTACCTGGTGGGGTAGCACCTGAGAGCTTCTAAGGGGGGCCCTCCCAAAAAGAAACAGTAGGACTAGTGGGGAAAGTTAATGGAGTTGTCACAATATTCCATGCTTTTAGTATTAGATTACTATAGTATTTATAATATTCAATGCCACAAAACTGAATACAAATTAATTTAATACCTGTGACTTACCTCCATTTCATGTTCAGTGCTTTGATGTGATGGTCTTCTCTTACAAACAGAACGAGGAAAGCTATCAGAAATTTGCCCTTCTTCTAGTTTGGCTTTTGGATATGATACTAGCATCTTTGTGGAATTTTCCCAGTTGATAAATGTATCTTCCCATGCCTGTGCACCAAAACCATAATATCATTTACAATAAAATCATTATTTCCATTATGATGAGATGGTATATAGTATAGTCAGCAGGAAAATGTTACAAGATATTTTACCTGTTACAATACAATGGTGACTATAGCTGATTCATATAGTTTTAAACTCTGTGCATCCCACCTCTACTAAGCCCTTTCATTAACTTTTCTCATTCCATCTTGAACAACAAATGAATAGCGTAAGAAGACAAGTGTTCTAAATTCCAGGAAAACTGCTTAAAGCATTTATAATGCATTAAGAATCCTCAAGAAATAAAACAAAATCCTTGTTTTTGTTTTCTTTCTTATTAAACTTAAATATCCCCTTATCTCAGGGGATATATAAGTTTAATAAATGTTGGTCTGGTCAACCAGGCTATCAGACACAGCTGCTCGCAGTCGGATGTATGAATCAGCCCAGTTAATCAGGTATTCTTTGGAGAGGGGTTTATCAAATTATCTCTTGAACACCGAGAGGTCAGCCAGTTATGCCTCTTATCTTAACAGTGAGTGTGAACAGTTTTGGGCCCTTGATATTGATAGAATTGTCTCTCAGCATACGTACTCCACCTATGTTTTTCAACAGAGCTATTTTGCACTTCCTGCCATGTCTCCTGGTTTCGTGTGAAGTTATTTCCGTGTTCAGATTTGGAGCCAGTCCCTCTTAATACTTCCTATATGCCTGTCCTCTAGAGAAGACAGGTTTAAAAAATTTAATCAATCCCAAAAATTTAAATGTTTTGAGTGGATTTTGGCAGTAAAAGACCTTTGCACATTCTGTAGGTCAGGAATTTCTCCAGCTTTGGATTTCTCCACTTGTTAAGTGTGCAACAACATTCCACTTTAGAGAGCACCAGTGACTTAAAAATATCGTTGGTATGGCATCTGTTGTTTGATAGGTTCTCTTTATCCAACCTGTCATTTCCTTGCAGTTGTAACCGGTACTTTATTGCGTTCTTTAAAAGTAAGGTCTTCTGACATAATTATTCCCAAATCTTGTATATTATATTTCATTCCAAAGTGTGATTTGACTGCATCTTGTATGTGGTTTCCATTTTGATATTTGTATTTTTTCCATAGCACAGGAGCTGGAATTTATCTTCATTAAACTTCATATTATTTTATGTGGCCCACTGAAAAATCTGATTTATACCAGTTTCGAAATTTGCAAACCAATGAGCCCAAACTGATGTCTGATATCATTGGGCTCGGCGAACCATCTAGGTATTTGTCTTATGCTCCTTCTTGGTAGTTCCCAAGACTCGCCACACTTGGGTGTATGGACTGCCGCTGCTGTTCCTCTATTGTCCTCTCCTACAGGTAAGGTAGTCTCCAGCTCTCTCACGTTTGCTCTTACCTTTTTCTACAATAAAGCCATCCTCATCTACTGAGGTGTCATCTGAGGTAAGCAGCAGGAAAGCTGAGAGGGCCTTATCAGAAATCCAGCATTAATTGTAGTGAAATTCCCTTATCTGGTAGGACCCAAGTAGCTCCTTGCCCCAATATTACCTTTCTAGCTATCTATTTAAATTTGTTAGTTTGGACCATTATCGAGTCACATATGACTTGATAATGGTCCAGGACGGACCAAAACGTCGTAGTTTCTTTATCTTCTGGTGTGTGGTTTGGTCATCTTAAATTTGTTAGGTTCCATTTTCCCAAGAAGTTGTTAATTTTATTTTTGCTTATTCTTTTCTAGTTAGTTTCTCAATTTGGGATATACAGTATCTCTGATCTCTAAACTAGTTACACCCCCTCCAATCTCTCCCACCTCTAAGCTCATCAAGAAACATTTATTTAGACCCTTAGATACAAAGATTATTTTTTTATGTAAAATGGCTTAATTGATACATGTATCAACATTTAATGCAAATAAAAAACTGAACTGAAGTTAATGCAAAATACCTAGCCATCCATAAATATTCACTGCACAGTGCACTTTAACACTCACTGTCATTGGATATCGAGAGGCTGAAAAGTGCCAACATTTTCAAGTCCAGAAGAGTATAAACTTAATTCAACATTTGTTTTAAAGACCATAATTTTTATATCATTTATACCAAAAAAATTCATACAAAAGGAAACTGACCTGAAGGCAACCTGGTGTCCATTTCTCAATCTTCCGTAACAGAGCCATGATACGTTTCTGCAGGGCAGCTCTACCTGTTCGTTGGAGATAAACGGTGACATGTTCAGCAAAACAATTAAAAAATAAAAACATAATTTTGCTTCTGTTTATGCAAGAAAATATCTTGTAATAGCATTACATATTATTTTATCCAATACAAATGCCGTACATATTAGACTAATCTGTTATTTATCAGTCGTCTATGTGAAGTCTAATGCCCTTGATGGCTGTGGCACAAAAAGCCTAATAAATGACCACAGAAAGGTATCTCCATCTCTCTCTCTCTCTCTCTCCATCTATCTCTCTCTCCATCTATCTCTCTCTCTCCATCTCTCTCTCTCCATCTCTCCATCTCTCTCTCTCTCTCTCTCTCTCTCTCTCTCTCTCCTCTCTCTCTCTCTCTCTCTCTTTCTCTCTCTCTCTCCATCTCTCTCTCTCTCTCTCTCTCTCTCTCTCTCTCTCTCTCTCTCTCTCTCTCTCTCTCTCTCTCTCTCTCTCTCTCTCTCTCTCTCTCTCTCTCCTCTCTCTCTCTCTCTCTCTCTCTCTCTCTCTCTCTCTCTCTCTCTCTCTCTCTCTCTCTCTCTCTCTCTCTCTCTCTCTCTCTCTCTCTCTCTCTCTCTCTCTCTCTCTCTCTCTCTCTCTCTCTCTCTCTCTCTCTCTCTCTCTCTCTCTCTCTCTCTCTCTCTCTCTCTCTCTCTCTCTCTCTCTCTCTCCATCTCTCTCTCTCTCTCTCTCTCTCTCTCTCTCTCTCTCTCTCTCTCCATCTCTCTCTCTCTCTCTCATCTCTCTCTCTCTCTCTCCATCTCTCTCTCTCTTATTTTGCTCTGACATGTGAAATATAAATAACTGACATAAATGGTCAAAAATGGCAAATTATGCCAAGTAAAAGTGCCAAAATCAGCAAAACCTCAAATTTTTAGTGGATATTTCATCCAACAAATGAGACATTAATTTAAAGCTAAAAGAGCTGTAATCATCATAGAGTACAGTACAGTATGTTGATCCCTGGGATCATGTGGTTATTGTCATTTGCCAGCTTCAGTTATGATCATCCAGTTTATGTTCAAATGATGCAAATATGGTTATAATACATCAGTACGATGGTAACATAGTTAACTTAGACCCATGAAAATATTCTGCCGTCATTCTGCAATTGTTTGCTATGCAATAAGGAAGTCATGTACTAATGGCCTGCGATTATTATCCAATCACAATTTAGTCATTCCTGCCAGTCTATTCTTGGACGACACTCCCAGACAAAAAAGACAAGATTCCAACACTTTAAGATAAGAAACTGTCTGGCAAAGAGACTAACCCACAACTGAATTAACTAAAACAACACTCAAGACATATCCAAAGTCCTCAATGCCTAATCTAAGTAGAGGAATAGGGCCCAGAGACCAACCCATTAAATCAGAACCAGAAACCTGATGATGATGATGATGATAAGAGAACCACCGATTACATATACCTGGAGATAAAAATATGAGCATTGAACGTAATGAAATGCCTCCTCCTGGGTGGGCAAAGGTGGCTCCCTGTAGCTAGCCAATCATCTCTGGAAGTCCTTAATAAACTACCAGAGAACAAGAAGAACCTGCCCCCACCCCCTCACAGAGTTGCAGGGATCTTAAGATGACCCTCACAGAAAACACAAACCTCTGAAAGGTAGCGAGGCAAAACAGAACTGCAAGATTCGGAAAGAGTAAAGAAATGAAGCAGCAAGTGACAACAAACACTCCATGCAGTCCCACCCTCTAGTTACAGCTGGCCACCACTAGGTGGCAGAACTACCATCAACTGCCAGCTCCCACGTCAACACTCCTCAGTCCAGGGTCTAAGACAGCACATCGATGCATCTGGTAAGGAGGGAAGAAACCAGAGAGCCAATAAAGCCCTACATATTATGTGAATAGGTACTAAAACCTTTAACAAGGAAAGATATATAGGAGTAAAAATGGAATGGAAGTAAATGGAAGATCTAGAAGTGTTTCTGGACACTCCTAGATCACAAGAGGACCACAAAGGACAGTGTGTGAGAGCAGCCTATGTATGCTATGCTATGCTAGTAAATTTCAGAACCACATTTAAATATATGAATAAAGAAATATTAAAACAACTGTTCAGGACAATTGTTAGACCAAAACCAAAATATACAGCAGTGGTGTAGTGTCCATATTTCAACACAAAAAAAAACTAAAAATGGGTGCAAAAAAATGCTATTAAATGGTTTTTGGAACTATGAGGAGAAACTTGAGGCAGTAAACATGCCAAGGCTGGAAGATAGACGGACAAGAGGCAATATGATTACTACGTACAAAATAATAACTGAAATTTTCCAAAATAGAAGTAGTTGTTTTTGAAATCTGCAACTTTTAAGAACACGAAGTCATAAATTCAAGCTAAGGAAACAGAAAAAATATGTGAAAGTTCCCTTCTGTAAACAGTTGTAAATGGTTGGAACAATCTAAGCGGTTGATGCCAAAATTATCAGTAGTTTCAAAGCGTCACATGACATATTACTGGGAAGACAAGACGCCACGAGCATAGCTCTCATCCTGTAACTACACTTAGGATATTACACACATGTACATACATATAAATGCATACATAATAATTATATTCTTACCCTGATGGTGTTGTTGACTAAAAATTCTGGATTCCAAAGATGCTGCATTAAAGGAACAAAGCAAGAATTCACTGTGAAGTCTTAATAAAAACACAGTATAACATTTCAAACGCTTCAAAATTCAAATATTTTCATATTCACGTTCAAGTATATTTGCAATGGTCAAAGTAATTTTATAAGCTAATTGGTATAAAAAAATGCTAGTTTAATAATTCCAAAATCAACAAATGCTAACAAATTCCAAAATATGAAAAAAACTTACCAAGCATTGTTTTCTTATTTAGCAATTATTTTACTGCTGTAGTAACTAGACATTTTTTATTGGCCCCTCCTATTGAGGAGGGTTTCCTCATTCCCTTATGAAACGTATAGCTTACAATGCAATCAATATTTTAAATATTCTTAAAAATACAAATTTAATCAATTGAAACAAACAATATTATGAAATATTCATAAATTTGCAAACATTTGCCACTTTTACCCTGAAAAGATATTGTGTAATATCGACAGTACAGTAAGTTTGGGTAAGTTGCCTGCAGTCTGCAGTTTCACCACTGCTTTCAGGCCAACCCAGGGGCCATGTTTCTTAGACTTCTGGACTCTGCAAGGGTCTTGTGTGCCTGTAGCATGATTGTATGTGCTTCCACTTACATTCAGTACCTTCTGCAATGCGTACACACTCAGCACTAGTCCATATGCAGGAATGCCCGAGTTCTTCTGGCATGCTTGGTTTCGATGTGTCTGGGCATATTGTGTGGCGATAATGAAGTGCAGTAGTGCACTATTCAAAATAATAGCCCACTATTTTGAAAACATGAGGAAATGTGGACTGTATATTTTCATCCTAACCAGGGATCCTCTTCAGCAGTGAGCGAGAATAATGGCTGTCGCTGCTTTTATGGTGTGAAATCAGGTGTCCGAGGGAGAGGTGTAAGCACTGGGCAATAACCTTGTTATATAATCGCTCACCAGATCTGGTAACCTTACCAGCTCGTGGGTGCCTTTTCAGCACTCCAGATGACCCTTTGTGTTATGTGAGTCTGAAAGTACTTTACTGAATTCTCATACTAGCAACCTTTTACCACAATTTGGACTATGCAATGTGTCCCCCCACAAAGCATTATAAATTATCAGCTTTTAAATTATGGTCTGGTATTAATTTAGCAAATGTATTGAAAAGGGATATTATGTCAAATTTCTTCCTCAGGAATTTCTTGGAGTTCATGGCTATTGCATCCTCCTCCCTGCTTCTCACGCTACAGTATTCACAAATGGGCAAGACAAAAGCTGGGACTTCTCATACTGTCACCATGCCTATCAGAGATAATGGTACCTCACACCTGAAGTTGGGGCATATCTCAATTTGATTTGGTAGTTATTTAATCGACAAACATTTTTGGGGAGCAACATTAAGTGTTTTGTAACTTCATTTTGTTATTTTTATGCAGTTTCACTCAATTAGTACTGTAGTTTAATCTTTGATCTCCAACTGATCCCCACCACTGAGGTGGTGTTAGTTTGAAATGGTGCTTGCTCCTAGTGGAAGGAGATAGTTATAGGAGCCTAGCATATTAAGACTGGCCTTAAAGTGCTGGTGCATTAACCCTTTAACTTTTTTGTGATGTCTACAGTCTTCATTTGCTCAAAATGCCATAATGTTCCGATGACGACTGTAGTCGTCATTTTCAAAGTCATGTCAGCTAACTTTAACTCCCTTTTTTTATTTCAACTTGCTTTTATTGCTTTTTTAATACCATCATAAAGTATAAATCTTTAGCTTAAAAACAATACCAAATTGAACACTTTACCATGCATAGTAACTTCACAATATGCATTGGAAGCAAAATATCGGTAAGCAATTTGAATTTGGCCCAAGATGTTGATAGCACCCAAAATTGGTATGGGGCAAAAATGTGAAAGGGTTAAGCAGAGGGAAGCCACTGAGTGGGGCCCGCCCAGAAAAAAAGAATAACCACATTATATCATTGCAATCTCATAACTGCTCTATCAGGAACATTAACACACCATGTCTAAGTCAAGCTAAAATGTTCGAAAAGTGGATTAGCAATATTTTTTTATAGAAACACATACATCCAGAGAAAATATAAAGATGCAATTATAAAGAAATAATCCTAACCTGTTGTGAGAATAGTAGAAGCAGCTGCAAGTTCCTGGTATACATGGTAGTTAGGAAGAAGGTAGGTAACCGTTGCCGTCACCTCATCCCACACGCAACGGATGTCGGCTTCTTCACACAACAAGGCAAAGCATGACATAGCCACCAACACAGCATCCATGTCAATGCTCCACAGGTACATTAAAAATACAACCTGTTGTTAACAATAAATGCCATTAAATTTCACAACATATAGTTATAATCTGATGTGATTACTAAATTATGAGCACCCTCCAGTGACACTATTTTAGTTTCAGATGAAACTATTTTGAAATGTTTTGAAATGGGATCTGTTGTGAAATGTTTTGAAATGGAAACTGTTTTGAAATGGGATCACTATAATAGTTATAAAAAGGCAATCCACCGTTTACTGGAATATATTGTCACAAAATCCACATGTGTAGTAATAGTTCTCAATTAACAGATTTGATTAATAGGGACATACACTTTCAGAATGATTTATAAACTTCAGCCAATTTTAATCTTGAGTACACAACTCTATGATATTTATCACTGAATGTACTGCATATTAGAATTATGTATCATACCTCAAGTTTGATATGAGCTTGTTTGCAGATAGCTATGTGAGCACCAATATTACAGTTAGCATAGTCTTTATGACGAAGGAGAAATGCATTGCGGCACACCAGGATATCTCGCAGCCACTTGAGAATTTCAGTATAGTTGACAATTTGATGTTGTATAAGCTTTTGTGATATAGAAAACAGCACCTGCGAACTGAAGAGAAAATGTACTGAATATATAAATAGTTCATAATTATTTACATATTTAAAGTACTGTAAATATAGGAATCAAAAGCAAACTTATGATGTAAAAGAAATTCAAATGCACTTTTATTTCAATTGACATAGGTTATGGGAAGCAACACTGGCAGTATTTTGACACAATATCGTACCAATTACATTCTAAATTTTGCTACACTGGTATCTGGTGCACAAAATGAAACTAGAATAGCAAAGATTCTTACCTGACATCCCAAAAGGTATTTATTGGTGCTTCTGGGTTCCACATTTCAATTTTTTCTGGTTGGTGAAGGACAAGCAACGCCTCCATAGCCTCAGCAGCTACATCTGGCATGGATGGGTTATGAACCAATGACACCAACCCATTGATCAGCTCCAAGGTAGAACTCTGGATCTCATGGCCTGCTTTGCCCTGGTTCTGTTTATGAAGTAATTTTCAATATGAGGCTGATTAAAAAACTAGCACTGAATGTACAGTATATATAAGGCTCTTTCCTAGGGACCTCAGTGGCTCCTTGTTGCTAGCCGCTTTGGTCAGCTCCATGCCTAATGAATCACATCAATCCCTTGCACGTCAATAAAAGTCTACTGGAGACTAGAAGCAAAAACCTGTCCCTCTCAAAGGTGCAGCGAGCAGGGGATCAGTGATCACCCTCACCAAGGAACAACCACCAGAGAAGTAGACCGCATGTAATAGACAACAGCAAGGCAAATGTAAAAAGTCAGGAAACAATCCACCCAGAAGGTATCACCTACCAAACAGACATCCATTCAGTAAACAGCCTCAGTCAATAGCTGAAAAAAGCAAGCCAGTGCACCCGGAAAAGTATGGGAGGGTCCACAGAGCCACAGCGGTCCTCATAAAAAGAGGTATTTCATTACATTCAATGTTGGTCTTCTGGAGGGGCCACTCAGTAGCTTCCTGTTGCTAAGTCACCAAAGGAAAAACAAATTAAAAGACGAACGCGCCAGACACAGATCAGAAGAGAAACCCATATCCGGGTAACCCGGCCTTCAGCTATACAAGCACAGCAGGGTCCCGGCACATTAACTAAGTAATAAGTCATCAAAGCCCGAGCCTGGATCAGCCCAAGAAATTAAAAAAGCCAGAAACTTACAATCATGGTCAAAATGGAAGACCACAACTAGACCAGATAGCCTTATGGAGAACCTGGGATAAATGGGCCTTAAAGCAAGTAACCAAGGACATCAGGTCAACTAACACATCACCCAAAACAGCCTGGGTGGTACACAGATAACAACGGACAGCCACAATTGCACATAACAAATGATGCCCCTTGACCAAAAGAACCAAAGATCAATAACCAACAGACCCCCTGCGGAAAAGTCAATCATCTTGCGAAACAATGTTGAATTGGTACAAGGAACCCTATTTACAGTGTACAATGACAGCCTATATAAATTGAAAGGAGGTAGAACAATGGTATATCAGTGGAAACTGATTGCACAAACGAGTTGTAGAGAAGTAAGGAAATTCTGAAACAGGTATGGGTGGTCAGCAAGTGGAATGCACTGAAGGAAGTTGTTGAAGGCATTTCAATCCACAATTTTAAGAATAAAATACTATGGAGACTTAATCAAGAAAAGTAATTAGCATGCCAGGAATAATTAGCTTGGAGGCAGGGCATAAAGACCAGGATCTCACTCCCCTATATTCACAAATAGGTAAGTACAGTAGGGAACAAAGAAACCAGGGATAAATAAACTATTTGATTTTCAAGCACAAGCTGACATTATAATACAAGTGAGCCAAAGATCCCAAGCAGACCAACAGTTTCAAAAGATAAAACCAGTAACAACTGTAACAGCCCCCCATCCCTCCCCCCCTGCTCAATTTCTATCACATTCTAGTAAGAAAACGTGTGGGGAATGAAATGTGGAAATTGTATTGTGATGTTGGAACTGGTAATGCTGCTATATGGTCGCAAGCAGTGAAGGTGGCTCAGTGGCTTGAATCATCTTGGAGTTTTTATGAACCTACCTACTTGTGGTAATTCCAGGCTGGACTGAATATTCACCAGTGCTTCTCTAGTACCAGTAGTACCTTGCAGATATGTATGAAATATTCCCTGTAGTGCTGGTGCAGATGGTGAACCTTCCCTGACTTTCATGCTCCTGTATTTTGTACCTAGAAGGATTTTACCTCAGAGAGAAATCCAGTGTGATAACTCAGAAAATGGACTAACAGGGTTAATTAAAATTGGAGGTCAAGCAGAAGCAGACCCCTGTGCTGCTACAATGAATGTAGCCAAAAAAGAAGTCAGTAGGAGGAGGAACACCCAGTATATTTCATACACAGAATTATTCTTTGAGACAAGTAAATTCAGTGCTGCTACTTTACTGAGAAAATAGTAAACAGTGCTGTAATGTTAAAAATAATTTACATAAATGTACCTCAGCATGGAACAGTAAATAGTATTGTAGAGAGGATTCATACAAATTATTCTACCTTGGCCTACTTCCTCAACATTGGGATGTAAGTGTACAAGACTGTTAGATACATAATAATAACTTACAGATAATAGATAATAGTTAGATAATAACTTACATTAAGCATAAGCATTGGATCAGCATGTATAAGACGAACCATCCATAATAAGAGGTTCTTGTATGATGGCGCCTCCTCTGACGACTTTTCCTTAAATTTTAATGTGACAACTTTCTCCTTTAACGTGAAGGTCTGGTAAAACACAGTGAGTTACATTATAAGTATGTATGATAAAAATCAAGAAATTAAATTACATTGCAAAAAATATTAATTTAAATAATGCAAAAAGTGACCAACAAAAAAAATGCCAACTTCAGTTATGTGCTATCACCTTCAAATTTCTTTAGCAATAAAACTGAAGAATTTTAAATATTTGTCTGACTTTTTAATTAAACTGAAAGTCAATTTGAGTGAAATTTTAGAAATCTTAAAAATAGAAAAAATAGAAATATTCACTTCTTGATGGTCATATTTTCTTAGAAGATTACTATTTCTGACTTCAATTAAGTGTATTTCTACTCGAGAGAAAGTACTTTAATCCAAGCCAGTTCATAAATGATCATTGCCAATTAGTTTAATAAACATTGATTACAGTAGGGTATATGATAGCAAATGCATTAATGTAGCATTAATCATTTCAAATATTCATCACATAAAACTCAATACAATAATTTAAATTATAACATTCAGAAGAACAAAAATGGTCTTAAATAATTATGAAAAGGAATTAAGGATAAAATGAACAGACATCAAGAAAAATAAGTAAGTTGCCAAAATACCACCCAAAAAGTAATGTGCATAAGTATGTGAAACTGGCCGAACTAACTAACCCAAACCTAATTTACTTGAGTGCGAGCCTACAATGCAGCGCAACCCGTCCTCGACTCATGTCCATTACATCCAGAGGTCAACCCCACAGACGCATCCATAAATTTTTACATGCTGTTCATTCAAAACGGGAATTTTCTCAAATATAAATTAATATTCTAATATATTAGCATATTGTGCATATATAAGTATAGGTTAGGTGTTTAGGTTCTGTTGGTGATTATTTGTATTTGTAGTACGTGGGTGAAGCATTTATAGCGTTGTGATTCGAACAAAATTCGTCGGTGAAGCACTTGTTCCGGAAGTGTTCGAACAAAATCAGTCGAGTCGTGTGTAAACTGTTTTTCATTCATAAACAGGGGGTTTGGCGGGTGCATGGAATCACTTTTGGGTCTTTGTTTGGAGGACGGGCTGTGCAGAGACATGAAATGAACTCAAACAATGATTCATATAGTGCAAATCTTCAAAATCTAAAGCTAAAATTAAACCACTGGTTTATGTATGAATACATAAATGAAAAAGTTTATATATCCCACACACCTGAATCATCCTTAATGGGGTGTGAGAGATACATCCCTGAGTCACTTTATTAAGGGTTTCGGTGAACATGGATCTCAGCTCACTAGACTTATTGTATACAATATCAATCTGAGGCCACCAGTGAAGTCGCGTTTGCGTTATTATTCTGCAAAGGAAACAGTAGGAAGTATTATAAGATATATCATATCTAATCTATTAAAAGGTATGTACCGTACGTAATAAACGTTTGCTTAGTAACATGAGTACGTATGTATACAAAACAAGAAATTCTTGGATTAAGACCACTGAACCAGGTTAACTCTTGAGCATGTTTTCAGATTTATATAATAATAATTCATTGTGTCATGGGACAGGAAGCCAGAGTGTATTCATACATGTTTTGGCTTTTTATTGAGGGTCCTTCCCCCCACGCAGGGCCTAATACAATTCTGGTTGGTATGCTCAGCACCAGTGAAACAATCCTAGTTGCGATGCACACCACCAGTCAAACAACTCTGGTTGCAATGTGCACTACCAGTGGAAACAATCCAAGTTGCGATATGTAGTTGAAAGGGTAAATATTTCTTACCCTTTCCACACACTTATATTCCTTATTACAAGAGCAGGCATGCAGAGAAATATGTAAAATACAAAAATAACACATTTATTTATACAAATCTCACCTGTACAGAGAACTGACCAAGACGAAGTGATATGATGAGGGGGAGCTAGGATTAAGACAAACTTTAAGAGCCTCGTTGTTGTGTGGAAGGATCCGGAAGAGCGATACAAAGCAATCTATCATAAGATCCACATCCTGACATATGTAATTTTGGCCTCTAGAAAACGGCTTCACAACATTGAAGAGCAGATTCTAAGGAACAAACAGGATGGTACTTTAAAAATTATGCAGAGAATATAAACATGTATAACATCCTACAGTTATGCAATTACTGTATCTAATAAAGATTCAATATTAAGGAAAACTTAAGTGGATGATAATTAACATCAAGAAAACTTTAGGTAATTAACAGTCGCACATTAGGACCAAACAAAACATTAATAAACTATTCAGGAAACATTGGAAAATCAAGATGCTTACGCTGAAATCGTAACATACTGCAAAATTACTTTGTATCAAGTTTTGCAGACTGCACACTAGTTTCATGGAGAAAATGTAACCTTGTATCCAAATTTAACACAGAACATCCAAGTATAAAAATTTACAGAGTAGAAGGGTCTACTGTAATGTGCAATAATTATCCTGATTAGCTAATCTCTATCAATGTCTGGATAAAAGAAAACCCAAATAATTACCAATGAATTAAATAATGTGACATCATTGGAGCTGGGTCAGGCTTATTGTGAGGAAACTTTAGCTGTCACTTCACACTAAAATTATTTAACCTGCAACACTTCTCAGGTGTTCCTCATTGATTATTGCATTAATTAACACTTCACTCTCAAACTCTTTTACTTTATTGAAAAAAGATATATATATATATATACTGTATATACGTAACATTTACATGTTATTTACAAATCCTGTCATAATAAACGTTCTATTTCTCCTATATTATCTTTATAATGAGAGAGCACAGAGATGTGTTTTTTAACAAGAAAATTATGAAAACATTACCTAGCAGACAAAATTTTGGGATTGGCTATTCATCATGACAAAATCACTTCACTTATTATGTATTATGATGCAAATTTGCTGTTATTTATTGTTCTCTGCATTTTGAAAACCATGTCTTTATGATATAAATATTGTGGATGTATTAATACAACTTGGTGAGAGAGCAATGGTTCATGATCCATGGTGGCAGGCTTGCAGCAAACAACTCGCCTATTAACTTAGTATTGCTGGGAATCACATATACATGTTCTGGACCAAGAATGTACTGACACTCAGTTTTAGTGATAAGATCTTAAAGTCTTAGTCATTTATAACATTTTCCTTCTCTACAATGATTGCTTGCATTAATGAACATCGCACTTCTTCTGTATTTCATTTATTTCTGGTGAATTAACTTGAACAAGCTTTTATGGTCAGGTTAGATATGAATATTTTAGTAATATTCTGACATATGGTACCAAGACTTCACAGTTAATGTGAATGGCCTTCCATTATTTGGACATCCATCAGGTTATTGTGGGTGGAGAACCGGTTATTTCAGTTTCAGGATAACCTAAGAATTCGGAAATTAAGGATCTGGATCATGGGGGGGGTTCTGCATTTCAAGAAGTTTTACATAGATATGCTTCACTGAAACAAAAAACATACCTGCAATTATTTTTCTACTTCATGAGGTGAACAATCAAAATCATGTTCAAACACATATGCTGAAAGTCTACCGAAAACATAATAAAAACTAACCTTCAGTTCACTAATAACACTTTGCACTAAAGCAAAGACTACATTATTAGAATCGTTGATATTAATATAGGTTGCAATCTTGCATAACTTGACACACGTTACAGCTGCTGCCTCTGTCAGTTGTCTACTGATGTTGTGGGGTATCAGGGCCTTCTTTAATTGATCGATAAATTGTTTTTTCTTAAAATGTCTTTGGGAACATGGGGCACCAGCGTCTGCATTCACAATTTCTTCTAATACTTTCTGTTGAAAATAAATTATTTATTTAGTGAGTCTATGTAAATATATATATATGTGTGTGTGTAAATCACAAAAAATAAACACCTGATTAAAAATGTGACAGTGTCAGACCATGGAGGAAAATTGAAACAGAAATTTCCTTAAGTACTTTCGTATATTAATACATCTTCAGAAGGAGTCCTTCAGAAGGACTCCTTCAGAAGAAGGACTTCAAAAGGACTCCTTCTGAAGATGTAAAGGTAACTGCAGAAGGCCTACTGGCCCATACATCATTATGTTATTACATGGTTTAATTACTGTAACTTACTGGCGAGAGGACTAGAAGCATAATCTGCAGAGGCCAAACAGCTGCTTTCCGCTTATTGTTCTCTGCAAAGCTGTCAAGGTGTTCAAACATTACCTCACAGCACTTCGCTAGTTCTTCATTTCTTCGTTTCTGAAATGATGAAATATTCAGCCTAAATCTTAAATTACTATAAGACACCCATTTCATACATATAAAATTACAAACAGGTTTTACAGACTATCACAGCTAAAAAGGCCATGTCATCACACACATTTGATGCATCACTAACGTGATGCATCAAATGAACAAATCCTTTTACCCTGTCGTAGCTCAGTCGATTAAGGCAGTGTCTGGGATGCTCCCGGACGCAGGTTCGAATCCTCGTCATGGCCCTTGTGGATTTGTTCATAAGGCCATGTCATATTTCATCTATAACCCCCTAAAGTGGAACTGTGATCAAAGGTGCCTCTCTAGTTGTATTGTGTCCTGAGGAATAGTCACCAACCCAAGGAACAGAAGAGTTTGACAAAACGACAGCTGTTGGAAATAAACATCAACCGAGGTTGATAGAAAGTATACAGTATGCAAGCCATTGGTGAGATTTTGAAAGTATTCATTGAAAGTATTCGCAGTACAGGAAGTCAAAAAGCTCCAAGGTGAGAGTAGGCATCCATCCTCCCCAGCAAATCAAACTTGTAGAACAAGAAAGCCAAGAAGTCCCTCTGGATAGTGAGGTAGCTGTCGATCCAAAGAAACAAGAATGTATAGGCCCAGAAGGCTCTAGTGAAGATGGGAATATGGAGGCGAGAGCACACAGCTCCCCTGGATTGTCACCCAGCTGTACCTGTAGAATTTCTAGCAACAGATGGTAAACTAGAAAAGTAGTTGACATCAATCACTGTGCAACCATGAAATGCAGTCTTTGCAAAAAGGGCAGGGATAGCAAAGAACATCATAGCTTTATGCGAGGGATCATATTACACTTAAATAATGACACACTGACCTGCAAATCGGCAAACTCATTCGGGTATGTGTCCATCCAATTCCATATTGCTTTTTCCATCGAGTTCATCAAGACTATTTGAGCATTTTTTCTTAAACAACGGAATTTCTGAATAGTTTCTGAAACACCAAAGAAACAATAAGTTAGAATGCAGCACATGAAAAAACATAATGTATACATGCAAACCAAGGGCTCCTTGTATTATAAAAATAAATAGGTAAGCTCTCATTACTATAACTAAAGAAACAGTGATCAACATTTTAATATTATAACCTTAGCTCAACATCATTAAATAAGACAGTTACTGAACAATTACTGCACTTACCATTTAAGAGTTTGATGAGTCTAATGACATCTACATTAATGTGTTGTATTAATTCTATATCAGTAAAATCTGGAGTTTCATCTGTATTGCTTGTACTTAATTCTTGTAACCTGCATAAAGATACAAAGGTATAATCAGGGACAAATTGAACATGAAAGAGTACTGCAAATCCAAATCATACGCTAAGAAGGTCTGGAAATTATGATGTTCACCACTCGGCTTTTTCAACATACATGGATATAGCCTTTCCACAGAAGAACAAGAAAGTAAAAGTTGGAGACTAAATTCAAGCTAGCACTCATACACACTTATGTACTAAAATTCTCAAAGGTATTGATTAAAAGCTATGAGGAGGACAGTGGGAAACGTTGGCTGACGTACAACTTTAACCCAAGCAGATGTTACTAAATGAAAACAGAGGTAGCAAACCAGGTACGTACAGTATAGTACATGGTCAGAAGTTTCAGTCTCAATTTATACTTAAGTTATACCATATCTCAAATAAAGTTGTACTGCGTATACAGTACCTTACTGAAAATAATTTATACCTTGAAAGATTTTTCTTACAGTATTTTAAAATAAAATATACTTCATGTTAGTAGCATTAAAAATTTACAGGTATTTACTAATAAAATACAGTACAGTACTTAGAAAATGCAAAATGCATGTTGTATTACTGGATTCTAGAAACAAAATTGCATTATACATAACTATATTTACACGTTGAATAAGAGAGATTTTTCACATAAGACTATATTAACCATTAAAGTGCGGTTATCGTCATACACTGATTCACGGGATAATGTAGTTACAATACATTGACCTTAACTACTGTATTATTGTCTGGTTTTATACCAGTGATGCTAATATGGATAAACAGTACTGTACTGCAATAGCTCTAAGTGGATGTAGTAGAGTTTACCATGACCCATGAAAAACTATCGTTTCCACGATTGCTAATGAGGTAAATGTGGTTATTATTGGAAATATTACTATGCCAATGTGGTAATCATTATATAAAATTACATTATAATTACACGAGATGTATCTTGATTATATTCATATGGTTTTCATAAAACTATATGATTGTAAAGAAGTACACAGGTGAAGCAATCATCATATGTTCATAATAATAATATAAATTACAGAAGGCCTATTGGCCCATATGAGGCAGTTTCTATTTATATCCACCCAAACTTATTCATATACAGGCCTATTCATAGAAGGCCTTTGGCCCATATTTATATCCACCCAAACTTATTCATATGTTATGCTGATGTTAGGCAAGGAAGCAAATGAGATATATGTCAAGTTTTGTGAAATATATAATGAAGGCACAAAAAAAATTTATATGAAAACTGATGCAGAACTAGACAGTATGATTGGTTCACCAGAAATAGTGAGAGGGCCAGAGACCAAAGACACAAAAATGGAATCAATATAAGAGGCGGCCAAACCCCCAAACATACCAGTAAATACAAAGAAGCAAGAAACAACTACAAGGCAGTGAGACAAGACACAAAGAAATTTTGAGAAAAGAATACCATCCAAATGTCAAATAGAACTAGGCCTAGTCCATAAATTTATTAAACTGGGAAACGGGTTCACAGAAAATACAATGAAAATGTGTGAAACACTAAACAAACAGTTCCAAAGTGTAGGTGCAAAATGGAATTTTTCGGAGAACCAGACACACTAAGAATTCCAGAGAACAACACATGTTGTATTCCTATGTAACAACATAGGAGACACATGGGGGGAATGTCTAGAGACCAAGTGGAAAAAATGCTCAAGGAGCTAAGTAGGAACAGGTGGCACACAGAGTTTCACTTCGGTTCTGAGAGAATGCACACTTGAGCACAGCATTCCACTTCAATTGATTTTTCGTTCATCTCTGTGTACAGGAGTCTTAGCAAATACATAGAAAGAGGCTAACATAGTTGCAATCTGCAAAACTGGCAGCAGGGAAGATTTCCCTTAATTATAGACCTGTATCATTGATGATAGTAGTAGTCAAAATATCGGAAAAAATAATTAAGATCAAATGGGTTCTTGCAAATAATTAAAATCAAAAGTTCTTGCACCAGTAATGTTCATTGTCTACATAAATGATCTACCAGATCTGTATGCTAATGATGCTAAGATACTAATTAAGATAAGAAATTGACACAATTGTCATGCCCTTCAAGAAGATCTGGACAAAATATGTGCATGAAGCACCCCTAGGCAAATTGAGTTTAATGTAAATAAGTGTGATGTTAGGGAATGTGGAGATACAAATTGAAGTAAAAAGATCTCATAAAATGTGATGCATTGTAGGGATGTCCTACAGTATTAGTGCTCTAAGCTCTGGGGAGTTACTGAGGATGCCAGCCCAGAAATAATTCTCATAATCTACAGCAAAAATCCTCATTCAGTTATATCATAGATACTTCTTCTTTACATGCAATGATAAACACTAAAAAGTAAAAACAAGCATACAATTAAATTACTTGCCTGACTGATATTCTATTGAAGACAGCAGAAAAGTTGTTTACACTGAGAGCAAAGAGAACTTTTGATGCTAAGTTCTTGAGTTGAACTACCATAGGATTATCATTTGGTAAATCTGAAAACAAAAAACTAATTATCAGCATATTCTAACATATGGTTTACAATTAATATACTGTACTGTTTTGAATAGTTAGCTTTCTGCTTACAGTATAATATCTGATTATCCAAATCATTGTTTATCAGACTAAAAGATAAATTGGACAAAACCTGATGCAAACATAGTATTGCCTCCAGGTTATACAAGATGATTATCCGGATAACCTAGGAATGATCAGATAATCACACATGAGGCATCAGCCTATCTTCATTATGATGGTGATAAATGTAAAAGTAAAGCAGTATTCAAATACTGTAACACAATAATAATTAAATATGAATAATGTTGATATTGACATATTAACAACTATTAATTATTAGAAATGACAGTAGAAAACTATAAAGTTTGCAATCAGATCTTAAACTACTACACAGGACGAAACAAATCATGACTCGACCTATGGTACTTTATCACTATTTCTAAGCCATTGCTTCCTTAGACAATATGCCTGTTCCTGTTATAGACAGAACCAGCCACAGCCAGGCAATGTCAACATTAACACCATGTTGTAGTACAGTGGTCTACATTCTCAACTCAAAACTGACGATTAGTTCCAGCTCTTGCGCCTGTTATCAAGCACTGACTGTATTCAAATACATTACCAACAAGCAGTATAGTACAACTCAAGATATACATTTAGTTCGAACTTCCAAAATGTGGAAACATACTAACCAATAAACTGGCAGGTCTCCCTCAGTAGAAGCTTAACATTCATTGCTTCATCTCTTGTGGTATCTTTGGGCTGGGAGGACAGACACTTCTCTAGAGTGTCCAACACAATTAGTAGCGACTCGTAGTAGTTTTTCTCAAAATCTGGGCCATGCGGCCGCTGGAATGAGAACAGAAAAAACTTATCTTGAATTATCACAAGGAAAAATTTGAGCATTGGGCGTAATGAAATACTTCTTTCTTGGTAGTGCCTTGGAAGCTCTAGATTGTGGCAGTGTCCACCCTCAGGACACTTAAGATTACACTAGAGTCCCAAAAGGCCTCCTGCAGTTTTTAATATTCTTATGATCTTATTTGGGGTATAAATAGCTGCTGCCTCATATGGGCCAACAGGCCTACTGCAGTTCACTTTATTCTTATATTCTTATTTTCCTAATCACTGGGAGGATGACACTGAGTGGAATGTCTTGCTAAATGTCCTCAGTGATCCCCACACAGTCTCTCATGCAAGATCATTTTCACTATAGGTGGGCAGGGAAGGGTTTTGGCGATAAACAGAGTGTAGGTGCTGCAACAGAGGGGGCTCACTCATGTAATGAATTGCAATGGATGTATAAGCCCAAATAATGTATAATATATATAAGCCCAAATAGTATATAATCTTCCACACATGAAGATCGATGGAGAACTGCAAAGATTCTGTATCACCCCTGGAGCCATTTATTTGGGCAAGAAAAATGGCTAGGAATGAAGTAGAGTTTGGAAACAAACAAACAAACAAAAAACAGGTCTGGAAACCAGGGGGTTGACTGTCCACATGGGTGGACTGACAACAGTCATAATAATAATAATGTGGCTCACAAAATCCTTCAATTTTGCCATTATTTGCAATAGCTTCTGGACTGAAAGATAGATAAATAATTTTCCACTGACCCAGATGAGATGAAGTGCATCCATCACAAACACCTGATAAATTTTATGACATCACATATAAAGGGAGCTTGTAGTTCCAAGCAGAAGTAAACTAGTCCATCTCTGCGAGAATTAACATGTAGCATATTCACTGAAAAAATGCCACATCCACCTCCTATTTCATTCCAATAGGAATGAAATAGGAGGTGGGGCATTCAAACCCCCTGAAACACCCAAGTATCGCTGGACAAAACACTCCGAAAGGCATGCATCTGTTCCCCCACATTAGTGGTGCAACCATGAAAAGGCTGACAAAACCAATTGCAGATATTCTAATCGGACTTTGGGGGGGACCATTATAAGAGCCTAGCATTGTGACATTGTCCTAGTGGTCTAAATAGTTTCTGGCTCAAGAAGCATTCAAGGGGGTTCTCGGCTCAGACAATAAGTTATAAACAGGATAAAGAATACAAGGTTACAGAACAAAGGTATCTTAAACATCCCTTTCAAATCAGTTTTTCACAGTGAAAAATGTCACTATGCTTACTTAAGGTAAAGGAATTCAGACATTAACAGAAAAAACAGTTGGTCAGAAACTCCTTATGAAACCAAATTTCATTTCAAACAATAAATTTACCTACTAAATATAGTAAATACTGATTATGCTTATGAAGATCATGCAGTAAATATAACAAAAAACGAATTTAATATTTTATTATTTTAAATAATATTTTAATTAGTATTTTAAGTTATGTAAGTTACATTATAGCTCACACAAAATTATCCCATTACCAAAAGAAAGCAATTGTTCTAAATATAAACAGGAAAGTTACTGTAGTCCTCGTCACTAGAGGACTAATCGAATATACTATATTTGACCTCTCTATACAGCCTTCAAGCCTTTAGTGTGTCCTTGGAAATGGCAATGTCCTCCTGCCCATTTATTTGTCATACATCATCTCCAGCCCCATGTGCCCCTTCACTGACATACCATTTCGTTGACTTTTTGTAGAATCTTATAAAGGCCTGAGATAACTAGTGAAAATTTGTATCTGCTGATCTGGATGAGGCACTCCTTGTTCTGCTCCACATTGAACCTTGAGTGTTGTGTCTGTGGGCCTGTCCGGCACGGCAACTGAAACGTCAACATGGGAAATTACATAAATAACTAATTCTATATAAATAAGATTCTCACTTAATACTGAGCATTTACTAAACCATTAGTTATTTTTCTCCAGTTTTATAATAATATACAAATATTATACAAATGATGAATGATTTTATTAAACGTGTACAATAATTACAATATAAAGTGTCTTAGAACAATGTTAACAGTAAAAGATTAGATATGTAGCCCTAGCTTGAACTACAAGCAGCATGAGAACAATAAACATACAGGCACGTAACAGTGCTTTAAGTGGTATACACGGCAGTGTATTTAAATTTTAACTAACCGAGAACAGGTGAGAATAGCTTGAGCTACCTCATACCTTTGTTTGTATTTATACCTCAATAAAGTTATTTCAGTATTGAGGTAGAGGTGTGTGTATTGAAAAAAGAGGAATGTGCACTAAGGTAAAGGTCTGTGTACTGAGGTAGAGGAATGTGTATTGAGGTAATGTGCATTACCTTGCGATTATCTTGTGATGATTTCGGGCTCAATGTTCCAGCGGCCCAGTCCTTGGCCAGGCCTCCTGGTTGCTGGCCTGATCGACCAGGCTAACAGCTGTTAGCTGTTGAACAGCCTGTCCAAACATCAGGCTGTCAGCTACTCACAGCTTGATGTATGAATCACAGCCTGGTTGATCAGGTATCCTTTGAAGGTGTTCATCAAGTTCTCTTGAATACTGTGAGGGGTCGGCCAGTTATGCCACTTACATGTAGTGGAAGCGTGTTAAAAAGTCTCGGGCCTCTGATATTGATAGTTCTTTCTCTCTCTCAGTACTTATTGCATCTCTGGTTTTCAACGGGGTTATTCTGCACATCTTGCAACCCGTTCTCGCAAATTCATAAAGTCAATATTGACTTATTAACTACGTGCATAGGTGATTTACTAAACATAATAGATACCCTTAAAAAGATTCATAGAAAACACCGACCTTACCTAACCTTGTTAGTATCTTAAGATAAGCATCTTATTGCTTCGTAATTACAATTATTACTTAACCTATACCTATTATAGGTTAGGTAATAATTGTAATTACGAAGCAATAAGATGCTTATCTTAAGATACTAACAAGGTTAGGTAAGGTCGGTGTTTTCTATGAATCTTTTTAAGGGTATCTATTATGTTAAGTATGTCACCTATGCACATATTTAATAAGTCAATATTGACTTATTAAATTTGCAAGAACGGGTTGCATCTTGCCATGCCTTCTGGTCTCATGTGGTGTTATTTCTGTGTGCAAGTTTGTGACCAGCCCCTCTACTATTTTCCATGTGTAAATTATTATGTCTCCCTCCTGCCTGCACTCTTAGAGAATACAGATTTACGCATTTTAGTCAGTCCCAATAGTGTGGATCTTTTACTGAGTGGATTCTAGCAGTAAAGGATCTCTGCATGCTCTCCAGGTCAGCAATTTCTCCAGCTTTGAAAGGGTCTGTCATTGTGCAATAGTATTCCACTCTAGAGAGCACTAGCATCATGAAAAGTATCATCATTGGTATAGCATCTCTTAGTTTGAAAGGTTCTTATTATCCAACCTGTCATTTTTCTTACAATTCTGACGGCCACTTTATTGCGTTCTTTAAAGGTAAGGTCTTCCGACATGAGTACTGTACACCCAAATCCTTTGCATTGCTTTTTCATTCATGGTATGATTTGACCGAGTTTTGTATGGGGTTTCCATTTTTATATTTTTATTTTTTTCTGTAGCACAGGAGCTGGAACTTATCTTCATTAAATACTATATTTTCTGTAGCCCATTGGAAGGTAAGGTAATTATCAAAAGAAGGCACCAAACCGGGGAGCCCATTGGAAGACCTGATTTATGTCTGATTGGAGGTTTGCTCCCTGTTGTCTACTCTCGTAAAAGTCTGTCTCATCTGTAAAGGATGATATGGAACTATACTGTAGTTTGTGTCCTTGTCTATGTCCAATATGAGGATGAGAAAAAGTACTGGGGCAAGCACAGTACCCTGGGGGACTGAGCTCTTCAGGGTTGATGGTCCGGATTTTATTTTGTTGACTATTACACATTGGGTTCTGTTAGTCAAGAAATTGTAGATCCATCTGCCTAATTTTTTCCCGTAATTCCTTTAGAATGCATTTTATATGCAACAACACCATGGTCATATTTGCCAAAGGCTTTGAGGTAGAGGGATGTACATCGAGGTAGAGGAATGTGCATCGAGGTAAAAGAATGTATACTAAGGTAATGGAATGTGTACTAAGGTAAAGGAATGTGTATTGAGGTACTGTAGATGAATGTGCACAGAGACAGAAGTATGTGTACAGAGGTAGAGGATTTCATGTTGAAGTGAGGGGGTGTGTGAGGTAGGAGAGATGACTAAACCAGACACCAGAAGAGGAGACAATGACGTTTTGGTTCGTCTTGGATCATTATCAAGTAGATTGTGGTCCAGGACGGACCAAAACATCATCGTCTCTTCATCTTCTGGTACGTGGTTTGGTTATCATATCTTCAACCACGTTACTGTAACTTGATTGCTCTTCTTAATCCCAAGAGTATGTATTGCAAGATCAAGGCTCTACACAAACTGTATTTATGGAATTTAGGACTATTAATTTAGCAAGACATTTATTAGTTCATTGAACAAGGTGGGGCTTAAGACTCCTTGAGTACTGGGAGTACTCAGTGTGCAGGTTAGAATCATCTTCATGGCTCCTACTAAATTTTCTCATTGATACATCACATGAATGTGATGTATCAATTAACATGTACTGAGTGCCTGGTTCCACCATTTCCACTTTTATAGCCTTAAAATAGTGCAGAAGATTCTTCGTTCCTTAAATAATCTTTTAGCCATCATAGAAATTTACCACCTATATCCTGGGTATTACAGTTAATTCATGCAGAATAATGTTTTTGTAATATCAATGGCATTTATGAAGTTAAGAAATGTAGTATATATTTGTGCCACCTAACACCATGGACAGTGCAAATGGTTGATGCAGTTGTGAACATTTTTACCTTATGTAAAACCATTACTATCAAGTGACATACTCTCTAATTCCATTTAACAATTTATTGAGCACCATTCCCTCAAATGTTCTACAAGTGCAATCGGTCAGTGAGATGAGACAAAAAATAAGTTGGTTAAGTATTGGAACAGTGAGGCAGCTAGTTCATGAGACAGGCAGTTGCCCAGTGACAACTCTCACTGAACAATTGTATAATTGGATTACTGGGTACATGATGTAATAGTTTATCATAGGTGAAATGCCTTCATCAGGAACAGTGCTACAATGGAAGGCAGGGGGCAGGAGAGCCTGGCTGAGGCAGGGGGGGTAGCAGGACCTGGTTGAGGCAGGGGGGGCAGCAGGGCCTGGCTGAGGCAGGGGGGGGGCAGCAGGGCCTGGCTGAGGCAGGGGGGGCAGCAGGGCCTGGCTGAGGCAGGGGGGCAGCAGGGCCTGGCTGAGGCAGGGGGGCAGCAGAGGGCCCTGGCTGTGGCAGGGAGGGCAGCAGAGGGCCTGGCTGAGGCAGGGAGGGCAGAAGAGGGCCTGGCTGAGGCAGGGAGGGGGCAGCAGAGGGCCTGGCTGAGGCAGGGAGGGGGCAGCAGAGGGCCTGGCTGAGGCAGGGAGGGTGCAGCAGAGGGCCTGGCTGAAGCAGGGAGGGGGCAGCAGAGGGCCTGGCTGAGGCAGGGAGGGGGCAGCAGAGGGCCTGGCTGAGGCAGGGGGGGGGCCGCCGAGGGCCTGGCTGAGGCAGGGAGGGGGCAGCAGAGGGCCTGGCTAAGGCAGGGAGGGGGCAGCAGAGGGCCTGGCTGAGGCAGGGGGTGCAGCAGAGGGCCTGGCTGAGGCAGGGAGGGGGCAGCAGAGGGCCTGGCTGAGGCAGGGGCCAGCAGAGGGCCTAGCTGAGGCAGGGAGGGCTGCAGAGGGCCTGGCTGAGGCAGGGGGTGCAGCAGAGGGCCTGGCTGAAGCAGGGGGTGCAGCAGAGGGCCTGGCTGAAGCAGGGAGGGGGCAGCAGAGGGCCTAGCTGAGGCAGGGAGGGGGCAGCAGAGGGCCTAGCTGAGGCAGGGAGGGGGCAGCAGAGGGCCTAGCTGAGGCAGAGAGGGGGCAGCAGAGGGCCTGGCTGAGGCAGAGAGGGGGCAGCAGAGGGCCTAGCTGAGGCAGAGAGGGGGCAGCAGAGGGCCTAGCTGAGGCAGAGAGGGGGCAGCAGAGGGCCTAGCTGAGGCAGAGAGGGGGCAGCAGAGGGCCTAGCTGAAGCAGGGAGGGCTGCAGAGGGCCTGGCTGAGGCAGAGGGTGCAGCAGAGGGCCTGGCTGAAGCAGGGAGGGTGCAGCAGAGGGCCTGGCTGAAGCAGGGAGGGGGCAGCAGAGGGCCTGGCTGATGGTGCTATAGTCATAGAAGGCGTAAATTACCTTGCTGAAGCAACCTTGCTTTTTTCCCCCACCCCTCCCCCTTGCCTAGCCGAAACCACCACCATATTTCCTCCCCCCAACCCACCCCATCCATCAGGCACTCCTCATACGTATTACGGAGGTAAGGCATTAAAAAAAAATTAAAAAAAAGGGGGGTAGTTGCGTTCATTCATAGAGGCAGGTCGGCGATCAATAGCTCCCTCCCAATCCCATTCATTCTATCAAAACAAAACACAAAGTTGTCTTGTGAGGCGAGACAGGCGCCCACGGGCCCCTCACCGGCCCTCAGTCTTCACTCACCTGTTCTTCGAATCTTATTATAAGCGCTGATACCCATTCTACAGGCTTTTGAGTTGCCATGCTGGAGAAATTTGAATAGAACATAGAGACAGTCGGGTATACGATCACTTCGCCACCGCCATATTGAACCACTGGCGACGTCACGGGTGGGCGGGGCATGCGTCCAGGCGGCAGGTTTGAATCACATACACCTGTCACTCTCTCACTCTCCCACATGTGTCACGCTAGCCTGCCACACCTGTCATCACACCATTCCCGACGACTTCCACACCTGTGACTAAGCCTTTTAAACCTGTGACCCCCATCCCTCCACACATGTGATACTATTCCATCAAACCTGTGACCCCATCCCTCCACACTTGTGATCCTATCCCTTCAAACCTGTGACTCCATCCCTCCACACCTGTGATCCTATCCCTTTAAACCTGTGACCCCATCCCTCCGCACACCTGTGATCCTATCCCTTCATACCCGTGATCCCATCCCTCCACACCTGTGATCCTATCCCTTCATACCCGTGATCCCATCCCTCCACACCTGTGATCCTATATAGGATCACAGGTGTGGAGGGATGTCAACTTGTCATATATATTATATATATTATATATATTATATATATATATATATATATATAATATATATATATTATATATATATATATATATGACACGTTGTTTGTAAAACAAAACAGTTTTTAGTTTTATGACAAACAAGATTTACACAAACTAAAATACTCAAACGCATCAGGTGAGGATGGAATTCAATCCAGAGTCATAAAGAAACTATAGCAGAGGAACTATGCCTACTGTCGAAACTATTTTTCAGTTTCTGAACCAAAGAATAGTACATATAGATTGGAAATTTACCCGAGGGCCACTAATCCTAGTGGCCTCGACGAGGACAGGAAGCCAGAAGCTTGTCAAAAGTCCCCTCCCCTCCATTTGCTATGATGATTTTTTCCATCTGGGTTTTAAAATTTAACAGGTCTTTGCAGATATGGTTTCGGTGGGTAGGCGGTTCGATGGGTTAATAACCCTGTGGGTGAAATAGCATCTCCTGTTCTTATTCCTACATTGTGGCTTGAGCTTGAAACCGTTGCTCCTTGTTTGTGTTACATCTGAAGAAAATATCCGGATCAACATCCTCTAACTTGTTCAGTATTTTAAGTTTCAATGAAATCCACCCTGTCATGCTTGGTTTACAGTGTAGTTTGCTCTGTGGCCTTCAAGCGTTCCTGATACACGAGATGACTTATTTCTGGAATGACGTTTGTTGCCCGGTGTTGCACTTTCTCCAAAACAGCTGTGTCCTTCTGAAAAGGAGGTCTCCTTGCTTGGATACAGTAATCCAAATGGGGGCGCACCAGAGATTTACACAGTTGAACCATTGCCTTCTTTCCCTTATAGTAAAATATGTAAATGTTCCCCTTATTTTCATAAAAGGCAGAAAAACTCGGCAGAAAACTACCGTCCGATCAGTTTAACATCACACATCTGCAAGCTCACGAAGAGAATCCTAAGGGAGGGCACCATTCACTATCTTTCAGTGAACAATCTTGTAAAAAGCGACACATGTTTTTGTTAAAAATAGATCCTGCCTTACAAACCTGCTCACAGTTTTGGAAACGGTCACCAGCTACTTAGGCAAAGGACTTCCAGCGGATGTAGTTTACATGGATTTTGCAAAAGCTTTCTATAAGGAACGACGTGAAAGACTGGCAAGGAAATTACAAGCACATTGAATAAATAGTAGAATACTAGAATGGATAAAACAGTGGTTAAAACAAAGAGTATCATGCTAAATGGACATGAATCTGACAAGAAATGTGGTATGTGGGGTACCACAGGGATCCATTTTGGGGCCAACTCTCTCTGTCATATACATCAGATGAGAATATTACCCGATTTACAAACCACATCAAATTAAATCATTTGCAGATGACACTAAGATCACTAAGAGGTAAATTGAGGAATGAAAATTATATTGCAGTCTTATAAAGAGATTTACATAAACTCCACAGATGATCAGAAGACTGGCAAATGCTTTTTTCAATGTTGTTTCGAAAAGCAAATGTTTCGAAAAATGCACGACTTTGCAGGTGGAGCATAACCAACGTCACAACAACCAAATTAATAACATTATCTTGTAGCAGATTGATGAAGAAAAGTACGTTGGAGTCAAAATCCACCATTCACTGAAAGTTGAACAACAGGTAGGAGCACCAGTAAAAAGAAGCTAACTAAACCCCTAGGAATAACAATTGTACCTCTGACTTCCAGGAAAGGAAGGTGGCGATTCAACTGTAAATCTCTGACGCGCCTCCACTTGGATTCTTGTAGTGAAGCATGGAGACCATAATCAGGAGGACAAAGCTGCTTTGGAGAAGGTACAACACGAGGTGACAAAAATCATTCCATAACTTTCTAGAGGCTAGAGAAATCTAGAGTTTTTTTTGGTAAATTAGAGACGGTATGTCTATAACTACGTGTGACGGTAAAGCGTTGGTGTTCGGCTGTTTCAATAGTTGGGGGCAGGGCCTCGTCACATTACAGAAAAAAAGGAGATCGTTTGCCCTTTTGTCTGTGGTAAAGTAATGGGAAGACACACAAAACACAAAGTATAAACAGTGAAATTTTAATTACTCTAGAAAACAAGATATGAATAAAGACAATCTCTTTGCTTACGTAAAGTTCAAAACAAGTCAACAAACAAAACATGAATAATTAATGGCAGTAAAAATTTACTCTAAGACAATAAAGTGCAGGTAATAGTGATAGTAATATAAATCAAATCAGGTGCTGAGAATACTGGCTTCAAGCTGCCACCTCCCTTAGTACACGACAGCCAGAGCTTAGTCTACTATAGAGAGATGTCAACTCCAAGGAGCACAGGGATATTCTGAGGAGTACAGCGTGCTGCTGGCCCAGACGTCGACTCGGGTAGTGACGTGAGTGCAGGTGCGGCGACACACCAGCCAATCAGGAACAGGCAGGCGGAGAATGAGTAGTTTGCTGGTTTGACGGCGGGCGGGAGCCGGTGTCTGATTCAGATTCAGATTCAGATTCAGATGTTTATTCAGGTAAGGTATATACATACAAGTGATGTTACATTAATGGATTGATATATAGATAGAGCTAGTACATACAATGCCTAAAGCCACTATTACGCAATGCGTTTCGGTGTCTGGTGGTGAAAGGTACGCTTTGCTTCCTGGGCAAAACGTTTGGCGATACTGCTGGACGTATCTTCAATATAGCATCTTGTACTTGAATGACGTAAATTGTGTAGGGAAGAGCAGGCTCAATCTCTCTTGAAAGAGATTATCGTCACATACGTCAAAAAACTGAACGCATGACAATTCCGATGAGATGCACCCTATCAAAATACTGAATAATTTGAAGGAATGTTGATCTAGACAACTTTTTCACAAGGTCTCATTTAACACAAAGGAACAACGGCTTCAAGTTCATCAAGCCACAATGTAGGACTGAAAACAGAAGATGCTTTTCCACCAACAGGGTTATAAACCCATGGAACCGCCTACCCGCCAAAGTCGTAAATATCAAAATTATTAAATTTTATAACCCCGGTGGAAAAAAATAATCATGGCAAATGATGACTTCTAACAAGCTGCCAGCTTCCTGTCCCTGTCGAGGGGTCCCCCCCCCCCCAATAGATAAATGGTGTCCCTTGGGTAAAGTCAAGTAAATAAGTTAATCCTAAAAAAAGTGTCAGTTTTCTATGAGCGCCAACGTGCTGGTACCTGTAAATAAACTTAACAAAGGTAAACACAAGGCGGGATGCTGTGGGGTAATTTGAGACGTGCAACATCTGCCGCTGCTGCTACTCTCCAGTAAGATGGACAAAGCCAGCAAGGCTATCCGCAGGTAGGTGTGCTACCCCAGTTATTAATGGTTGGTGTATTGGTGTAGTTGTGGTGAATGTGGTGAAGAGACTCCACTCACAAAGAACCTCCGGACTTTACATTATGACCACCGAGACAAATCACACTGTACCCAAAACTGCTATTCCTGAGGATACAAGTCACATCCTACATAACACCATTTTGCGGTGGATTTTTAAACCTAGCTCAACCCAACCCAACCTAAAAAACGAATAAAACCCAATCAAACAATACCTAACCAAACTCAACCCAACCCAAACCTACCCTACCCAACCCAACCCAACCCAACCCAACCCAACCCAAACAAAACCCAAACCAACCCAACCAAACAAAACCCAACCAAACCCCAATACAACCTAGCAAAACAAACTGTATACGGTTTTAACAAACAGAAAACGAGCTTCATTGAATCGGCTCGTGTCAAAAACGACCATACCCCATTCCTGCGAGGTATGGTCATTTTAGGCAGGTCACATCATAAACAAGACGATTCGTCAACAGATTATAAAACGTACCTAACCTAACCTAGCTAAAAAAAAAAATAATAAATTTCAAGATGGATGATGTGTTTTAGTGTAATCAGAATGTTTACTGTTGAATTATGGATGACACATTTTAGCATCAGTGGAATGTCAAAGTTTTAGCTATTACCCAATCAATTTAAAATTTAATTCACTCTTAAGTTATGCCTGAAACATTGTACATGATTAGTGGGTTATAAATACCAGGGGCTTATAAATTTTATGTATTAAATATTATTGACAATATTGATATATTAATATATTTCAGCATTGTTATAAAACTACAGTAATTATACCATTTTAGTATATTTTGGATAATTCCAAATGACATTTTTCTCCTATTGTAAGGTCGGGGGTTCGACTGAGGTCCATGTCAAGTGGCCATGGAAGTTTACAGATGGTGATATCTCAGTTGGGAGAAGTTCGAACCAGCTTTAAGGCATTTTCCCAGGCTCAAGCAACAGCATCTGAGGATCTTCTGAGCTGGTCTGGGGGCAGTCATGAAAATCGAGCAATTGAAGAAACCTTTGCCCACTTGGCAGAGTTGACTTTACTCTGGTCTGAGGTTCAGAGGGACTTTGCTGGTACGTTTATCATGTTTGGTTTATTTTTATGTGTGTGTATTTGCTTGTGTGTGTGAGTTTGCATATTTTACATATGCAATAATTTTCTATTCATGTTTCAACATGTTTCAACAAGTCACATCTTTTCAAGCATATCTATAAAACTCTGAACTGCAGTGCCAATTCTGACATTAAGCTTTACCTAGAGAGCTGTAATAGAACTCATGGCCACCACACAAGAAATAAGTACCTCTGATATTCTAAATTCAAGCTCAACCAAAGCAGAAATGCTATACAAATTTAGTCCCCCAGATTGTGGAATGATCTCCCAAGTTTAATTAAAAGTTGTACATCTCCCAACCAGTCTCTCCTATTAATTGTCATCTAATAATTGTATCTGTATTTGTAAAATTACTTACTCAAGTCCTACATGATGATTATTTTTAAGTGTTTGTCCAATAACCTTCTAAATTTTACTAATTTACTGCTACATTATGTTCTAGTAGCTTTACTGAATTACTCTTTTGTATTTTATGTTATTGATGTTAAAAAACTACTTATATGCTGTTGCTAGAACTATAGATCCCATAATGTAATAAGTCTATCTGTAATCATTATCTATCACCTTTATTTCAGTTATTTTTCTTGACCATATTCACATATGTTAGATTATGTCTCTTTTAGTATTAGTGTTAATGTATACTGTAAAGATAATGGGGTTATTTGTTATCTAAATTATTCTAAGTTTTACCCGTCCCCCCCCCAAAAAAAAAAATGGTTTACAAACCATTTCATAAGATATTTATATCTTTCCCAGATCAGCTGAAAGAGTATAGGACACAGTATGAGCTGATCTTAGAAGGAGAGAAACATGTTACACAAGCAAGAGAAATGCTTGTTGTCAGGGAGCAGCGTGAGAGCAAATTACGAAAGGAGTTGAAGAAAGCCAGCAAAAAGGTACTCTTTATGTAAATTATATTTACCTAATTTTGTTTTATGTTGCAAATGATAAGTCATAATGTGGCTGAAGATATGATGACCAAACCACACATCAGAAGATGGAGAAACTATGACATTTGAGCCCATCTTGAACCATTATCAAGTTGTATTTGAGGGAGAGAGGGGAAACAAAGGGGCAATAAATATGGAAAGAGTGAGGTGATGAGCAGGCAAGAGAAGGCAATTCCTAGAAGGTAAGAATAAGATGAAAGGTACGAATGAGATGAGCGTAATAATGTGATGAAGGAAGAATGGGATAAGGTAAGAAAAAGAAAAATGGGTAGGCTTAAGTCAGGTCACCTTTGTTAAGAAGGTTAGAGCATTCAAGTATGAAATGCTGCCTCCCCCCTCCCCGCCAGGATGGGAGCCAGGCCAAAACACAGATGCCACGATGATGTCACAAACCCCAAGGGGCAAAGGGTCAACCATCCCAACAGGTGGTATGACAGGCAATAAGAATGACCATCAACATGTAGCAAGCTCATTGGGCCAGTTCATCGCAAACCACGCCAAAGATCAAAACCAAGCAGAGACCCCAGGTACAGGAGCTGTTCCCCAAAGCAACTGACTGAGGTGGCTTGCCGACTGTTGTGTTAGCTTCCAGTGCTGCCATCTGGTGGTGGACTATTGGAACTAGAGAGTGAACTACTGAGCTGATGTCCAGTAGCTGCTGTTGTCCATTTTGTTTTGCCCTACATTTGTGGTGGCTGCTAGCATGATGCAGGTGATCACTGATCCCCAGCTCTGTGGATCGGTAGGGGGGGGGGGGGCATGTTTTAGCTTGTAGTCCCTGGTAAGCTCTTAACGACTTGTCAAGCGCCTGGTGTGATTGGGTAGGTGAGCAGCTAACCAGAGCAGTTAACCACAAGGAGCCACCTCAAAGCCTTCTCAGAAAGAACATCAGACCTCCCTCTGAGTAATGTTTGTAATACACAAAGCATCAAACAACACCCAAGCACCCAAGTCTCATGCCTGGTATGCTCTGAATGGTCTTGGTTCTCCCAGAGACCAATCTCTCTTTCCCAGTATAGGTATCTACATTTCTTTGGACTTATATGTGATAATCATTTTGAGGGCCTGGATTTTTTTTAGTCCACTTTGGCTTTGTTTCAGAGCCATTTTTTTTATGCCACTAGCAATGACTGACACCTGATGCTTATCTTTTCAGGTTTTTGTGTTCCTTCCTTGGGTCGACTTCTCTAGAGTTGACCCTGTACTGGATAGAGTTTTGGAACTTGGTCACTGACATCAGTACTTAGTGTATGTAGTGGGATTTTGATTCTGGCTCATAAAGGAGGTAGAACACTAATTTTTATGGAATTTTTGTTCAGAGAAGTGTATATGTTCTGTGGCATTTTACAGCCTTCTTTGTCAATAAGTATTTGGGTATGAGAGTTTTTTCAGGCATATATAAACACACTCACACTGTACAGTACCGGTACATTGTTAAACACTTCAGAGTTTTTTGGAGAATTGTATCAAAAATTACTCAGAGGGAGGTTAAGTGTTTTGTGACTTAGTTTTTGCACTGGTGGTTTACCGTGGTAGTATTCCAGTGGATGATCTTTGATCACCATGTGCTTACCCTGAAAACACAAACCGTAACTGTCTCTATTTTCCGCTTGTTAAAACTTGTAATAAAGTTGTTATATCTTGGCTTAACGTGTTTATGATGTATTAGAACGTTGTTACAACTTGCTGTATTGGTTGTTATAACTGGTTAGGTGTTAAAACTTGTTCGAACGTTGTAGCAATGTTGTAGTTTCGGTGTGTGTTTGGCGGGTACCCCCCCCCCCACCCTATTGGAAATGACAAGATGGTTGAGAAAAAGAAAAAAGTAGACAAAGTAATAATGGGAGCCTGGCATACTCGCCCCCCCCCCCCAGAATGTCTCTAGTGTACCAATGCTAAACTTTCGAGAGATACTGAGGTATCACCTCAGAAAGGTATGTTTTATTATACTGTACTGTACAGTGCATTATTACCCTCTGTTTGCTTTATTTTCAAAGCAAATGCTTTAACTCCACAAGTGTGGATAATAACAATATAAAACTAGAAGAAATAGAATGAAAGATTGAAGGTGAATATATTTTTTGTTTACAAAGTTTTTAATAAATTGCAATTGTTTAAACTATTAAAATTTCTCATTTCTTATTAGGCACCAGCAGAGGAAGTTAGTTTGCTAAAGGAAAAATTAAACCAGGCAGAAAGATCACGAGATTTGGCTCATCTGGAAGGTAAGTGCAGTGCAAGCTGTTCATTTTATTATTTACAATTACAATATTTTTTATGAATTTTATTGCTGAAGAGTAGTAGGGAAATTAGTACTTACAACTTACATTTCCTGAAACCGATTGCAGTTACTTAAACCTTATTAAAATTTCACTACAGTAAGGGTTTAGTGACTGTCAGTGTCACATTATATCAAGCATTCATTGTGCTTTAATACAGTATTGCAAACTATATTTTTTATGGTGTTCTCCATTACTTAGTGTTTAATAGCGGTGTGACATGAAATGTTTTACTCCACAGATAATGTTTGTGATTTGTTTTAGTAGATGAACCTCACAGTTTAATTGCTCTCAAATTACCTCCAACAGTGGTAGAACGCGTTGGAGAGAATGAGGCAGTGAAGATGATACGTGTTAAGGAAGGACTGTTAAAGCTTGGTGGTGCTTACTGTGAGCTTGCCCAAAAGTGCCTGATAATCTTTTGTGCACACCAGAACATTGCATCCCAGCTGCCAGATGTTCATGACAGGGACTTGCAAGATGTAAAATACACAGGTGATTTATTGTTCTTTTCTTAAAGACTGTAAACTATTCTATTATAAAAAGTAAATTTGTGTCTGGGTTATCAATTAAAAATTTATTGAACAGTGGCAAGCTTTACACATGTTTACTTAGTTGCTGATATGGATATCAGTTACTTTACATCATCACTACAACAGTCTGATGATGCATTTTGCATACTGTTGTTTGGTCAACTGAAGTGATTCAGTTATCTAGTCTTAAATGTTACAAATTTCGCTTCCAATTCCAGAGAAGGTTTGTCAGTCAACATTTTATTGTTAATTATTGCAATACTGTGCTGTATATATATGCATGATATTTTCCATTTTCATTTAAGATGTTCATCAACCATTGTGCTGAAAATACTGTAGCAAATAATAAAGGGGAAACATTTTCATTGGATAGAAAATTTACCCGACATGGGAAAATGCTGTTGCTGCTGGCTATACTTAATCATGGTGTGATCAAGGTGGGTGAGGCAACACTGACATATACACTCTAGCTCTCTCCCTCCCTCATTATCCTTTGAGAAAGTTCTTCTTTAGCCATTGACCCATGACGGAGGGTGTGCGAATAATTTTGTTGACACAGTTGAAGCAGTTCCTATTTATTTCCCCCCAAGCTCATTCATATACATGTCTAACTTGTGCTTGAAACAATTCAACTATCCCATGCCTGTTATGTTTTCCGATAATTTGTTCCACATAAAAAACCTGCTTCCAAACTGGTATTTAAGTCTTTAAATGAAATCTTTCCTGAATCCAAACTTCTCTAATTTATATCCATCGTTTCTATGCCATTTTGTGTGGATATACTGTATTTAAAACCTTATGATTGAAGTATATAAATGGATGACAAAGTATAACAAAGAATATACTGTAATACATGTATAAGGTTTTAAATATATCCCCAAAAATAGAATGCAAAACATGTCTCATAAACTTCTGCAGTCACTGTGGCTGACTTTGAAGTCTTCAATGCCCATGCCTAATGCCATTCTTTCCAGCTACAAATTTGTGCACCACCAAAAGTCAGCTCCCAGCTGCATAATTCACTGGTAAACAACTTCATTCAGATCCTCATGCTTAGGAAGTTCAACATTTTTATAGCTTCTTTCCACAACTGCCCTCCATGTTATTCACAAACTATATAATCTGCTTCCTTTGCTTTTTTATTTTGTCAGCAGCAGCACTGTTAACAATGTCATCCTCCTCGGCCAGCTATTTTTCTTCCCAGTGACGATTACATTTACTAAAACTCAGCCTTATTACCCGCAGTAAGAAAGTTCCTCTTTTTCCTTGTCTGATTTACCTATATGACTATTGTGCACAACATAGCTTCAACTTGCAAGTAATGATATATCAGAAAAAAAAGGTATTAAAAAAACTTGAATAACAAGTGGTCAGACCATACTCTCACAAGAAAAATACTGTCATTACGCATACCCCCTCACAGTAGGACTAGAAGTCTCAGGAAAGCTATTTAGGGGCCAGCAAAGAAATAGTTACTTACCCCCACATCTTTCATCATCTTTTACCCCACATCTTTCATCATCTTTTACCCCACATCTTTTTATCATCATTCCTGACTAAATAATGTTTATACCATATAATACCAAAGTGTGCATTTTATTATTTTTTTCACTCTGATATACCTGTATTAAATTTCATGGCAACAGCATACCATACTTGCTTGTATACTGCTAAAATGTGAAATATAAGCAAGATGAAAATTTATTAACACAAACACCAGAAAGATTTATCATTTACCAGCATAATAATATAGGCATATTGTACATGTCATATTTTTCTAAGTATTGCAAAATAATTTTATTTCAGGTGCTGGATCTGCAAAAAAATTTGTACAGGATGCCAAGGAGCATGTGCGAGCTTATCGTCGCAACAGTATTAGTCAAATGCCACCAATGCCCCAAGAACCACCACCGCCATATACCCCATCTCTTGAGCATCTCAATGATCTGTCTTCAAATACCAAGCTTAATGGAATAAATAGTTCATTGCACAACCTGCCTTACAATATTAACACGTCAACTGCTGAGCCATCTGCACCAAGGGCATCTGTGTCATCTCTAAACTCGCCAGAGCATTTACCTTATGGTAGAGGACCTAGCTTACTGCCCTCTGTATCACACAATCGTGGTATTAGCTCTCAAAAGCATTCAACACCTAATGTTCCTTCTACAACCCCACACAGTTCGCCAAACCGTATTTATCCAGATGTTTCAACACCATCAAGAACACACCCCTTCCATATTCCTAACAGCCCTTCTCTCCCTGAAAAGCCACATCCTCCATCATCACCTTCCTCACCTCATTCTAACAGTGAACCAAACTTGTCTAAGGAATCTCCCTTGGAGCACATTGTGAGGTATCCTCCTCTCAGCACATGTGACAACTCCAGCTTCAATGAGAGTTCCTTTCATCCAGACACATCCTCATCAAGCCCTAATCTTGCTTCTAGCAGGCAACCAACCACATCAACACCAGAGAACTCTGTACCATACAATCCATATTATGAGTGGTTGCCAATAAAAGGTGATGAGAAAATGAATGGAAAATGCTCAATTGAAGACCAAGCAATACTCATCATGAATGTTAGTAAATCAAAAATGAAGGATAAAGGAGATGACCCTGATTCATTTGCTCCATCTGTGCGTCCAAGGGTAAACAGAAACCCCTTTATAGATGGTTATTCAGATGAAGAAGGAACAAATCAGGAGAGCTTATCTGGTGCTTTAAGAAAGACATCAGTCAGGTAAAGATGAACATTATTTTAATCTAGAGCCCCGTGATTATATAGAAAAATATCATTCTTAACCACAGCAGCTTCCCTGAACTGAAGATCTGGTAAGTCTCGAGATCATACCAGGTCCCCAAATGCTCATGCAGGCCTACAGAAAACTAGGAGAGAGTTTGGTTTGACCAATGAGATGAGGGCCATATGGGGATCAGAGATTAACTTAGGTTAATGAAAATGTGAGATATGTAATAATTATTTAGCTTTATTGCACTTAGGCTAAGATTCTTAATTGTAATAGAAGGCATTCAGAAAATGTGGGCTAGCTCTCTATGACTGTGGGATAACCAGCCCACTGTACCTCATAAGCCTTGTCTGGTAGTCATGTCACAAGGCTGCATCTGCATAACCACTTTTTTGTACATGCTATAATACCACATATCCTATCATGGCTGTTTATGTTCTATTATATTTAATCATCTCCAATTTGCGCTATTTTAAACATTTTTGCATATACTGTACTGTGTATCTAATATCCTATTACCTAATTTTTCCCAGTTGAAGATCCCCTATATTTGATTTTTCATGAAACTTATCATAATATTTTAATGGTCTGTTTGGCAGATTCCTCTGATGATTATTATATGAAATTATACTCGATATGATTTTAACTATGGTTCTCATTTGTTTTAAACCACAATCACTCACATTGAGTGCATGTGCAGTAATTGCTCATAAGCATTAGTGGACATAATATGCCATTTAATGCCGTTCTATATTTTGGAGAACGATTGTATCTGCACAAGAATACGGATTTGCTCTGAACAGAAGATCACGACTAGCTCAGTGTATGTTATAACAGCTACCATTATGACTCGACCTGTCCTCTTACAAATTACGGCTGAATTGGCCGTTTGCCCGTATGACCGAATATGGACGTAATTTGAAAATGAAAAAAATAAAAAATAAATTTTGGATTTTTTTTTTCCAAAACAGTAAGTTAAGGGTCCTCTGGTAGGTTAAGTGGGCAGGAAATTCTCCTTAAGTTTCAAAACATGAAAAATGTTAATTGAAAGTCTCCTCTCCTAACCTTTCCGAGTAAGCCAGAGGACTCGAACAGAAAATGGGACAGTACATCACTTTCGTGAGCCGATTTCATTTAAAATTACGTCCATTTTTGGTCATAGCGCGCCTACGAGCGAAAAGCGACATTTTTAAGACTGTATGACTAGCTCAGTGTATGTTACAACAGCTACCACCTGACATGCTGTTGACCTTGCTCAGCAAGTAATGAATGAAGTGGGTCAGTTATCGTAGTTCACTGCTGGATTTTGATTTTGTTTTTTTATATATAGAAAATGTTTTCATGTATCAAATGTTTGATGTTTATAACATTTATTACATTATTATGATATGAGCAGTTAAATGTACAAGTTGGGTTTCATTTTGTTTTTGCGAGTGAAGTATGCCATTAGGAAATATTGTTCTAATGTCAAGAAGCAATATAGCTGTAGTTTGCCTTTCAAACTTGTCTAGTTGTTAGGTATCATTTTATCAGCTGGCTTTTGTAACAGATGGTTGTGCAAGAATTGTGATGAACATTCACCATGTTCAGAATATTTGAACGGGAAATTTAGTCAGATTTATATTCCTTTAAAATCGTACCAGCTCTTGACTTTTATTGCACTGTTCTGATCTGTTTTTCGTTTTTAAATTTGATTATCTTTGTGGCCAGTTACTACAGTCAGTCACGTCATTAATGCCAATTATACTGCCTTAATTGTCATAAAAGGGCATTTGTGACTGTAAAATAATTTTGTTAGCATTACTGATATTTCATTCACTGCATCATTGTGTGTAGTATCAACAAATATTTTAAAATATTTTTGTTAATATTTTTAGATCAAATCTAGTTTTCAAAATACACATTGAGGTATAACATTATTTGTCTAACCCAAAAATTTCCATTATGGGTTTAAAATTAAGAGAAAGTATGCTATAATACATAATGAACACATTAATATAATTTAGCCTCATTACTCATGCATCAAATGAACATAACATGATGGTGACAATTTGATTTCAGATAGCATATTTTCTCATTTAAAAGTGCAAAGATAGAAGACAAAAATATCAATAGTTAGGCAAAAAATGTGTCTACTGATGCTACTTTAACAGATGGAGATCAACATAGGTGTCAGAGATAGTGTGTGTGTGATTATCAGTGTTAGTAAATATTTACAAATGCAGTAGTTTTGAACAACTACTGTACTGTATTTAAAATAATATGCATTGAACATGGAAACTACATTGTGTTTTAATTGTAATTACCAATTTATGCATAATTGTATAAAAATGGTATAAGAAAGATTTTGCATCATATAGTAAACTGATAATTGTAATTCGTGAAACCAAATGGAACTTGTCGTCACCGATAACCTGAAGTTTTTTGGAGCATGTACACATACCAATTCATATAAAAATTTAGCTGGTTTACCAGCCTACAAAATAAATTTATTGTCAGATCTAGTGCTCCCTATTATGTGAGGGCAGGTTAGGTTTGGCAGAGCATGTGCAGCAGACTTGCCACCACCATTTCTATCTCCCTCGTATTTACTTGTGTTATTTGAATAACATGCGTGTGGAAAAAAGTATCCCCCAAGATGCAACCTGGTAACTATACACTATAATAAAATCTTTACAGTACAATATTTAAAAAAACAAAAAAATCAAGAATTGTATGGTTATGCAGGATAAATCCGTTAACTGACATTTATAGTAGTGTAAATTGTGGGGTGGTTCTATTCAGAAGGTTGCAACATGTTAAGTGAAAGCATGTCAGTTTGATTAGAATTATTGTAAAATATTTTTACCCTGTCATTTGAAGTTTTTGTTACTAGGTTTAATATTTCTGGACATAATACCATGACATAATCCAATAATCCAAAGTTATCTGGAAACAGATAAGAAAATGCATTAAAGGCAGTATACAACAGCTCTTGAGTTTCACTTGGTCTCATCGGTAAACTATTACAAAATTATTTAGTTTAGTAAAGACCCGTCATGCTTTAGTTCTTAAATAATACTGTACTAGAATGTTTTATAGCCTCAGTCATGTATTTAATTGCTATTAAATACATTAATGTATGTTATAGAAAGACTATACTAGGCATGAATGTACTACAAGAATAATATGAAAATGTACTACAAGGATAACATATAAAGTTTATAAAACTATTTCCCATAAATTGGTATCAAAGAACAACACTGATAAAAACCTGTACCCCTAGCTAGTGACAGTGCACTCTTGCTGTCATCCACTGACACAAGTTCAGGTAATTGATTACCAAAAGCAGGCACCAAGCCAGGAAGACTATGTAGCACTAGAAAATGATGCAATTGCTTGAAGTTCTTTATTTATATTTACTTCCCCTTTGCCTCCAAAGATGTTGAGAGCTTCAACGAAATGCATAATTTAGCACTAGAACAATACAAGTGTAAAGTGAACTTTAGCGAGTTAATTTTTCAACTTCATTTCACCAGGAAAGACGAATGTAAAACATGTAGAGAAAATTCATGCATAAATTGATGGATAAATCAAAATGTCACATTCTAGGTTGTACTTTTTAATATATTCTGAGAATCTTAACGAACTATTTTTATTGGCAACAAATATTTGTACTATGAGTAAAAGTTTGAGCATCTTGCCCTAATGGGTCCTCATTTGCATGTTCATTCTTAGTTAATCTGCAAGTATACAGATCATTTGTTAAATAAATAATACATAAATATTTCAAAAAATAATGTAACCTAAATTTGTTCTGGATTAAAAGAACACTATAGTCAGATTAACAGGCAGAGAGTAAGATATCTAATTAGATGTAATCATATATAGATAAAACATGGACAATCAGTTAAAATTATACAGATTCATTGACCAATATTAAATAAATATATATGCTTACACTCTCACACATGAGTGAGAGAGTGAAGGGTATGACACTTGTCATGCCCTTCAAGCTGACTTGATAAAATAAGTATGGAGCAACACTTGGCAGATGGAATTCAATGTGAATTAATGCCACGTTATGGATTGTGGAAGAGGATACAATAGGCCACACACAACCAACAAATTATGTGAAACGACATTAAAGAACTCTGACAATGAAAGATCTAGGGGGAGTGGTTCTGAATAGTAAACTGTCACTCGAGGCCACAAAGGACACTCTGCAACGAACCTATGCCATGCTTTCCATCTTTAAAATTGTTTTTAAATACATGGATAGTGAAATGTTAAAAAAAGTCATGACTTTTGTGAAACCAAAATTGGAATATGCAGCGTCCTTCCTCGCCAACTAAGTTTCTCAATAAGTGGAAACCATCGACTCCACTGAAAAACCCAGCGTTCTGCCGTAGATTTTACGTTGCAGTCAACCGTACCATAGAAGTATATGCTATCTAAATCTGAAACATCGACATCTAAAAATGATCTCAACAACTATGAGGCTATGAGGGAAAGAGAAGAGATTCGTGCCTGCGGATACGCAGCAGTCTCTAGCTTGCACCTACAGAAGAATATTCTCTAGCACCCAAAGAGAAGTCTATCGTAAAGTTGACTTTGTCTCTATAAAACTTAAACTCAGCAACAGGAAAGGGCAAGCTGAAAACCTCAAACACTAACTCTTGACGTCACAGCTAAACACCTTGATGTACCATTCTTCTGCTTCAGCAATGGGGTAGCAACAACGATCTACGCCAAGACCTAAACGTAAGTGACAGAGACAACAACAGTGTAACTACGAGAAGTCAAACCATGGAGAAGCAGAAAAAATAAACTACAACGAAGCTAAAATCATCAAGAATGAAGAACTACAGCAAAAAGGAAGACCAAGTATGAAGAAAGAAATTCTACACATACTAGCCTCCTGTACCGTCGCTCAGTCTAGTCCGTCAAGCTGTCGAGAAGTTGATGTCAAGCCCTGGGACTTTTCCTCCTACTTCAGCGCCTCCTCCCTTCAACTTGTTCTTTAACTGTACCCACTTCATGCTCACCCACTGGATATCTTGGTTTTCCTTCAGTCTTAAGGCTTAGTAACGAGAGTATTATCACCACAACTCATTTTCTGATCCACCTTAAACCTAGCTGACCTACCGGACTGACAGTTAGTCACCAGCTGCACACTAGTCTCGCCATACGGGTCGCCTTGTTAAGATGCTGTCTTACCACACAACAATCACAGCTATAACCATTTACATCAAATATATATCTAGTTACCACAGTGTTTATTGTCCAACATGTCCGGGTAACTAAAAGAAGTTTAGACAACGTAATTCTGTAGTCAAATCAACTACTTTACACAGCATTTCTCTATTTCTTGTTATTTTTCCATCAGTTCACTATTGCTTGTATTTACAGCATTTTCCTATGCATTGTCCTCCTTGCAATATTCCCCGCTGCTTGTCCTCTTGGCAGCATTTCCATGTTTGTCCTGCCTCCTAGCAGTATTTTTACTTCAGTAATTGGTCGATGCCGCTTATCCTCTATTTTTTCTTAGTTCTATTACAAATTTCTTGTGACCATCGTTCTTTTATACCTCGTTCTCCTTCCTCGTTCATCTTTTCTTTTTTATCTTGACCCGTCTATCTCCTCTTCTGGCGCCTTCCAGAGCAGGTAGAGGATCGTGAGGTTGGTTCTTCAACTCTCCCAGCATCAGAAGAGCTTTTGCTTCTCCTGCAATTCCCTCAAGTACTCCAGGGCTGGAGGTCCACACCTATATACCAACTGCTTCTCCATCACTGGCTGAAGGGCACCAGTGGTGTAGTGGTGTCTGTACATAGTGAAGAAAGGGAAACGTGGGTTACATGGGTGGAAGGAATGGAGAGATAAAATTATAGATATGAAAAAACACTGGGTATTAATT